ATATATATAGTTATATTGAAATATGAAGGTTTCCTAAAATGGCGGTACCCTACAATAGATGGTATATAATGGAAAATTGCTCTAAATTTGATGATTTTGGGGGACCTCCATTTTAGGAAACCCATATATATATATAACCTACTTAGTAAGTAGATGAGCAACCAAGTACCTCATCCAAGCTACTACTCACTTCGGATTCTTTCGATGAACCTCCAAGTAAGTTGTTTTTGTCTAGTCATCTCCTCACTTTTGTGATTCATGGTAGTTAAAATTCATTTTTTGTACTTCAACCCCCATGTTTGATATATATATATATGTATGTGTGTGTGTGGCAGGGGCCTTTTGGTATAATGCGACCGTCCTCCTTTCTGATCCTGTCCAGTGGTTGTAGCCCTTTTCCCGTGGCACTTCTGTCTACACACTTGAGTGAGAGCTTTACAGCCTTTGCTGCTTTTTTGCAGTCATGTGGTAGATCCATTTTGTTTTCATTCCAATAGCCATGCCCTAGGGGGTTCTTGAAGGATTCCAAGCAGGGGTTTGCCCAACAATACATGTCAATAGAGAATTCTGATTGTTGGGTTTACCTCATCTTGTTGGCGAAACTAGTCAAAGTATTCGTACTCTTTCCACTGACGCACCGCCGATGCAGCAGCTGGTGCTGCTTTGAACCGAGCCCAGATCGTGCCATCATCGTCCTTGTGCAAAGCCGCAAGATCTCCTCAAATAGCAACTTTGGCCAACCCGCTGAACAAGAGTGTATTTGATTGTCACCCACAAGTTCGTTTTATGAAAAGACATGCAAATCCAGTGTATATATAATTACATATTATATAGTTGATAGAATTGATGTTCTTGGGTAACATTATGATAGATGATATCTGCGTGATTCAGAAAACCTGAACTTCTAATTTATCTTCTACTGGTTGCTTGGAATGATTTTCAGCTGTTCTTAGAGAAAACGACATACTACCTCGGGTATTTACGTGCATGGAATATCACTTGCTGTATGTGCTGTCACGGCTTGTGGATTAAAGCACTTGCTACCTTGGAGTTGTACGATTGAACGAATAGAATGCCGATTGCTGAGGGCATTGTGCCGTAAGCTACTTTTCACTCCTCCAAAGTAACGGGCTCAAATCTGTGAATTGTGTCCTTAATTGATACGAAAAGACTAACCCAACCCCACACATTCGGGATTCAATCTCTCTAAACTATGTCTGCAATTTCACCAAGTTGACACCCAGAACAAACTGAATGAATGTGTGTCTCAAAATCGCAACTTGAAACCGGTGAAAATTACTGTCGGGATCTAAAGCTCCAATTCATCTTCCAATGTATTTCTTACTTATCACGAAACAAATCCCAGATATTTAGCTAAGGTGTATGTATCTAAATTACCTCCTGCACTATCAAGCCATGACCTTCACATTTGCCCCAATCAAATATCATCGAAATATTTCGGGAGTGCGGCTTCCATCCCAGTGTCCCATTGCAGAATGAGTGACCAAAGAAAAACAGTTTGTGCTGAATGTCTTCCACGGGCCCCTGATACCCTTTCACGACGACCCGGCACTGTTCATCCCTCTGACGCCTCGCCAAAAACGGCCAAGTAGATTAGGACGATATTTCACCTAAAATGGAAATCACCTATTGAGCATCACCTGGCTATCTTGCTAAAGGAAAATGAACTTGAAGTAGCAATGCTCTGCCATAATGTTGCGACACTCATCTTGTCGCAAACTAACACCATCGCTGAAGTAAGAAGCCTTTCGCATCTAATCCATAGGCCTTGACCCCATCAAAATTGCAATACGACTCGATCATGTGGAGACATGCCTTTCGCGAATATGCGTGCTCAAATGCATGCTGCAATTGTACACCACTAGCTTACTAGCAATGGCTGGGCCGGAAACGAGAAAGTCCTTCAAAGTAGGATTTTTGGGAAGTATCCATCCTCCGCTGCATCTGGGTAATGCTCTTCCAAGAATTGGGGGCATACAAAGTGGGCATGGGGAACCCAGAGAAAGCTGCGCCGCAGGATCGAAGGGAAGTTGTGCTCGGAAATGCCTTTGAACAACATCAAACGGCTCACCTCCATCCGCAATCAATCATGCGTGTTACGTACCCGTATGGCCGCCTGCCAGCCATTCCATCAGCACTCATTGTTTTCTTGTAATGGTCTTCACGCATGCGTCGAGAAGTTTCTCTTGCCTCCTGTGCTGTCAAAATAAAACAGCCTGCAAATTGCTCTATCTGTTTCAGAAGTTCTTGCTCGTCATACCAGATGTTCGGATCGAAAGCATGGTTTTGACCACAAACGGCATTCAGGTGGGAACTATATAGAGACTGCCCAACACCACCCAGGCTCTCACCTATAAAACGTCGGTCAATATTTTCGCCTCTTTTGGCAAGTGCCTGGGCTGCTTGGCAGCACAAAAACACCTCAAAGTTTCGCCAGAAGGTCTGTTGGAAAAACTTCTCCAACCGAGCGCTTGCCTTAGAAAGTTCATGCGGACACCAACGGCAAAATGCGCAGCAAAAGTTTTTAACGACACAAACAAAAAGAATCAATCCAGACAAGCTGCGGCCTGAAGAACTGGATCAGGCAAGGCAAGTTTTAAGGCATGGCTAGGCTGAACGAACATGATGCTGCCTTCCTGTGAGTCATAGACGACACAAAGATCCTTGTACGCGCAGCCTGCTCGTTTGTTGCGAGGTGTTTCGCACCACTCAATCATAAGACCATAAATCTTATCATCCATGACTTCCGTTTGCAAAGAAACATTCATTTTTCCCGAGAGCGTCTGAGCGCAGGGTTCTTCCAATAGTGGGGGTCTGTCTCTCATCTTCTCATCTTCACATCTTCTCACTTCACATCTTCTCACTTCACATCTTCTCATCTTCACATCTTCTCATCTTCACATCTGCTCATCCTCACATCTTCACATCTTCTCATCTTCACATCTTCTCATCTTCACATCTGCTCATCTTCACATCTTCACATCTGTTCATCTTCACATCTTCTCATCCTCACATCTTCACATCTTCACATCCTCACATCTTCACATCTTCTCCTCTTGCCCTCTTGGCCTCTTGCCCTCTTGCCCTCTTCTTCACATCTTCTCATCCTCACATCTTCACATCTTCATCACATCTTCACATCCTCACATCTTCACATCTTCTCCTCTTGCCCTCTTGCCCTCTTGCCCTCTTGCCCTCTTGCCCTCTTGCCCCTCTTGCCCCTCTTGCCCTCTCCTTCTTTTCTATTTCTCTTCTGAAGGCGGGGGCAGGGGCAGTGCCAACGAGACGGCACGAAACGCAACCCTTTCGCACGAAATGAGGTTCGATCGCCAAAAACTGCGCTAAAATTGCGATTTCAAGGTGTCCCGCGCAACCCTTACGCACGAAACAAGGTTCGATCGCCAAAAACTGAGGTAAAATTGCGATTTCAACTTGTCCGGCGCAACCCTTTCGCACGAAACGAGGTTCGATCGTCAAAAACGGAGGTAAAAGTGCGAGTCCAAGTCGTCCCGCGCAACCCTTTCGCGCGAAACGAGGTTCGATCATCAAAAACTGCACTAAAATTGCGATTTCAAGGCCTAGGTGTCCGCCGCAACCCTTTCGCACGAAACGAGGTTCGATCGTCAAAAACTGAAGTAAAATTGCGATTTCAAGGTGCCCGGGGCAACCCTTTCACACGAAATGAGGTTCGATCGTCAAAAACTGCGCTAAAATTGCGATTTCCGGGTTCCCGTTGCAACCCTTTCGCACGAAATGAGGGTCGATCGCCAAAAACGGAGGTAAAATTGCGATTCTTCTGTATGTACAAAGCTGCCTGCTGTGTGTCAAAGCTTCTGTGTGTAAAAGCATCTGTGTAAAAGCGTCTGTGTAAAAGCGTCTGCTTAAAAGCTTCTGTGTGCTCTGTGTGTAAAAGCGTCTGTGTGTAAAAGTTTCTGTGTGTAAAGGTATCTGTGTGTAAAATCGTCTGCAGTGTAAACGCTTCTGTGTGTAAAAGCTCGTGTGTGTAAAAGGGCCTGCGTGTAAAAGCGTCTGTGTGTAAAAGCTTCTGTGTGTAAAAGCGTTTGTGTAAAAGCTTTTGTGTGTAAAAGCTTCTGTGTGTAAAATCTTCTGTGTGTAAAAGCCTCTGTGTGTAAAAGCGGCTGTGTGTAAAGCCGTCTGTGTGTAAAAGTTTCTGTTGTGTAAAAGTGTCTTTGTGTCAAAGCGTTTGTGTGTAAAAGTGTCTGCGTGTAAAAGCGTGTGTGTGTGTAAAAGTGTCTGTGTGTAAAAGCTTCTGTGTGTAAAAGCGCTTGTGTAAAAAGCGTCTGTGTAAAAGCTTCTGTGTGTACAATCTTCTGTGTGTAAAAGCCTCTGCGTGCTTCTGTGTGTAAAATCTTCTGTGTGTAAAAGCCTCTGTGTGTAAAAGCCTCTGTGTGTAAAAGCGTCTGTGTGTAAAGCCGTCTGTGTGTAAAAGTTTCTGTTGTGTATAAGTGTCTTTGTGTCAAAGCGTTTGTGTGTAAAAGTGTCTGCGTGTAAAAGCGTCTGCGTGTAAAAGCGTCTGCGTGTACAAGCGTCTCCGTGTAAAAGTGTCTGCGTGTAAAAGCGTGTGCGTGTAAAAGCGAGTGCGTGTGTGTGTGTGTGTGCGTAAATAAGTCTGTGTGTGGAAATGCTCTCAGAATGACCGAACTGTGTGGTCCAAAAGCGTCTGTGTGTAAAAGTCTCTGTGTGTAAAACAGTCTGTGTGTGAAAGTGCCTGTATGTAAAAGCTTCTGTGTGTGAAAGCTTTTGTGTGTAAAGCTTCTGTGTGTAAAAGCTTTTGTGTGTAAAAGCTTCTGTGTGTAAAAGTGTTTGCGATGCAAACTATTGTCTTGTACTTGTGCTATATTGTCTTGATACTCCTCTTCTCGACTGCCTATAACACATCTTTACAATATTGTTTTGTAATATGGACTAACAAGAGAAGACCCTGCTCCTCTACGCTCTCGGGCCATCCGTCGTCTAGTTCATAGAGCAGTCGCAATGCTTTGGGCCCATCCGCCCGCATTAGCGATTCCGATGCCACCAGCTTGCTCCTCGCCATCTTCGTCAAACTGCTGGAGTCTGCGGGCACGTTGCGCCTGTTTCATGAAAATTGCAGCATCTATCCAGCTGTCAAGCATTGCTTTGATGTTTCCACCTCTCTCTGCCTCCATGCTGTCCACAGCCTCGACTATGCTAGGAGTTGTTCGCTCCACACCGCCTCCCAGACACCGAAACAAGCCTTCCAGCTGAAGTATGAACTCCTTCACTCGGGCCACTGTTTGCTCTGGAGGACTGCCGCGAGAGACTTGAAACGCACCGCAATCATGATACAAGAAGCATTGCCCGTTATGAACCCGAAGGCATCGGCCATCGCAGAGTCTCATGTGAGGCAATATGCAAGCACATGCCACCACACGGACCAGCTGCTCAGGCCACTCTGGCTTCATACTCCGGATCTGTGCGATCATGCGATTGCTTTGATGAAGAAGGGAATGGCACTGATCAGGCTCCTTGACCAGTGCAGCTTCCAACGATTTCCTGGCCGTGGTTCGCATGTTGAAAAACTCTCCCTGAAAAATGGCGTGGACTGCATGGCTCCAGGTTGCAGGCGGCGCTTCTTGCATCGCCGCAAATTCTCGTCATCTGCTTCTGGGCGAGGGATATCTTCGGCAGCTTGACTAGCAGGACAATGAGCATCTTGAGGTGCTTCTGCTTCTTCCACCTGTGACATCTCCTGTGCCACTAAGGCGTCCAGCTCGGCTTCCATCTCTGCCTTCAGATGTGGATTGCAGGTGGGTCCCACACGGACAGCCTGTCCACATGCAATATCCTTCCAGACAGTCATCATGGCTTCCACCTCCGTTTCAAGATGCGGCACATGGTCAACGAAAGGCCGCATTTGCTGGTCTGGATGTGTGCAGACCACCAGCAGGTCACCAGAATGAGTGACACCTCAAAGCTATAATACTTTTCGATGATGTACCTGTAGATATTCAGTTGGAGACGATAATGCCAACCAGCACAATCCGGAAAATGAGCCAAAGTAAGGAGGGAGCTTGGAGGGCGCAGAAAATTTGGATGCTAGGTCTGACGTTGGTTTCCAGTCAATCAATGCTAATTGTCCACTTGGGTTTATAGCAGTGAGATCGATCGACCCAGCTATGTTCTCTTCTTTGGCACTTCTTGGGTTTACAAAGTTTATAACAAAGGTTACAACCATTTGCAGTCACTTAGCGGAATTCTCGCAGCTAACCACTTGTCAGGACTTATAACCACTTAACTCAGCAAATCCTCGTGGCCAGGAAACTGCCCACTAGGGACCCCAAAAAGGCCACGAGGCGTTGTACAAACCACGGTTTTAGGTAGGCAGGAAATTCAGGTGCTCAAGTGCAAGCGTTGGCCTGTGCAAAGGACTTGTACCACAAAACGCAAAACAGGTATGGCACAAATCCTGGGAATTCAGCTGCTGAAACACAAGCGGCTACAAGCGTGCACCCGCAAAATTGACATGTACAACTAAGCCAAGAAAGAAGACACAAAACAAATCCACCAACTACTCAGAACATGTCAGGTTTTGGCGCAGGCACGGTTTGATAGGAATAGGAAGCGAAATTATGGTTCGAAAGAAAAACTGCGGAATTATATACAAAACGGTGCAACTACGAAAAACTGGTCAACATCCAAAGCGCAACAGCTGCACATCTGAGAATGCATTTTTCCCCCTGCGATACACGGTTGTTTTCTCTGCAACGCATGTTTCTAAAGTTTTTTGGTTCCGATACGGCCCCGATACGGTTTTTCCGAAAATTCAACCGCCAAAGGCTGGCATTTTTTTCATCGGAAATATAAAGAATTGAACGGGGCCATCTGTGGTGAAGAGTTTTGGATTGAATTGTCTAGTGATATGTTTTGCTTTGGCGAACTTGACGTGATGGAAAAATGGATTTGTGTGAAAATAAACAGTGCGAAAAAAACATCCTGAAGATTTGTTTTGACGCAATGCCTCTGACAAAAAAGCAGCATGAAAACAACGGCGTAAGTTTTGAGGTAGATCTTTAAATCTTTGAATCTGTGTGTGCTGCATGTCCTTCAAACAATCTAGAACCCTTTGCTGCTGTTCTTTTTTGCGGCTGTTTTTTAAATGAATTTGCAAAGATAAAGCATGCAAGAAAAGCACATGTGAATTCCTGCCGACATGCCTGCGCAATTCACAAAGTGAACTCTTACAGGCTTGGCTACGCACCTGCTTCAAAAACAGAACGCATCACATCCAAAGATACTTTATTGCACAAAGGCACAACCCACGAGAAAGCACGACCACTTAGGGGACTTAGCTAACTCCACTTGTAAACACTTAGCCATGTCGTCTTTGGGCCAGTTGCTAACTGGCCTAAGTCTGAACTAACCAATTGAGCTGAGACTTATAGCTGAGAAGGCTCAAACTTAGCCACATTATAAACTCATTTAGGGCCGATATAACTCCACTTGGTCAACTTTTACACCCAGTTGTAAGTTGCGCAACTTCAAAAAACACCGAAGTTCCTCACCAAAAATGACCCACTCAGTGCGGAAGGCGCGCCGCCCTTGCATGCTTCGTAAGAAAGTTTCAAGCATTGAAAATTCTGGGCTTGTTTTTGGCACCATATATCCATTCACACGCGCCTCAAACAAAAAAATCATGTGAGTGCCTCGAAGGGCAGCATCAATCCGGTTGGCTTCCCCCAGGCGCTTGATCTCTGGCAATCTCTGGAAGTCCGTCCGCAAGCTCTGCAGTCGGTTGCAGATCCATGCGTCATTGCGGGGTGAGTCCAGGAAAGCAAGCAAAAGGTCTGCGTCAACTTGGCGGACGCGCTTCAGGACAGTCTCCCCCAAGAATGGCCGTAACTATCCTGCTCGAGGCCATCTGTCACCTGCCATCATGTTGCAAATAGCTCTGTCAGCATCGAAGGGTTGTGTGCAAGCATGGTTCAACCCTGTGACCAGATCCTTTGGTCTGCTTGCCACGGACGTGATACACGTGGCCTTCAGATTCGAAGGGCGCAATGGCGCTAGGGCCAACCGAAGCCAAGTGGCACTGGGGCCAAGTCGCGCTGGGCCCGTGGCACTGGGGCCGTGACACCAGGGACTGAGGCAGGTGCATGACAAAGGACTGGAAACGGCACTGGGGCCAAGGCACTGGGGCCAGGTGAATTTTAAAAAAACAAAATATTCAAAATATACAAAAAATGATGAACTTCTCCCAAGAGTCTCTCTGAACCTCTTTTTGGGAGCGTTTCTTTTTTTGAATATTTTGAATATTTTTTTATTTTTTTAATTTCAAAATAACAAAATCTTCAAAAAAATATCTAATACAAAAATATTTCGTTCTTTTATCTTTTTCAAATTCAAAAAAAAATCAAAATATACCAAAAAAAAACGAGCTTCTCCCAAGAGTCTCTCTGAACCTGTTTTTTGGGAATTTACTATTTTTGAAATGTTGTTTTTTTTAAAAAAAATCAAAATTTCAAATTAAACAAAAAATTAGCTACTAAAATATTTTGAGTATTTTGTTTTTGAATTTCAAAATTTCGAAATATTATGAAAAACAGCTAATACATTTTTTTTTGAATATGGTGTTTTTTACAAAGAAAACAAAATAATAAAAAAAAAACAAATACACCAATATGTTTAATTTATTGAATTTCAAAATTTCAAAATATTCAAAAAATAGCTTAATACAAACATATTTTGATTTTTTTTGAATTTCAAAAAAATCAAAATATTCAAAATATGTTTGTATTAGCTATTGTTTTTGAATATTTTGAATTAGTTGAATTTCAAAAAACAAAATCAAAATATTCAAAAAAATAATGAACGTCTCCCAAAAGTCTCTCTGAATATCTTTTCTTTGGGATTTCATTTTTTTTTGAATATTTTTTTTGAATTTCAACATTGCAAAATATTCAAAAAATAAGCTAATACAAAGAATTTCAAAATTTCAAAATATTCACAAAATTAGCTAATACAAAAATATTTTGAATATTTTGATTTTTTCGAATTTCAAAAAAAAACAAAATATCAAAAAAAAAACAAATATTCAAAAAATAATGAAACCTCCAAAGAATAGTTGAAAACAGTCTTCTGGGAGACTGCTTTCAATTTGAAATGGAATGACATGGTCAACGGTCAAATAGTACATGAAGGTCCATCGTACATATATATATATAATTATAGATATATAAAATATAATATAAATCAAAAATGGGGGTTGAACTATAAAAAATGATGTGTGTATATATATATACAGTTAAATCCAAATTTTGGCAGCTAAATTACCATGGTCGATGGTTAAATCATGTTTAATCCATATTTTTTACACGGTTGCAGATCACGATCAAACTGCTTAGAAATTTGGATCTGAAACTTGGATGTGTGCCCGAAAACTCGAAGATCTTCCCTAGAAAACCCCGGTAGCGACGTGGATTTCCTGTTGGGAAAGCACCCCAAAAAAACCATCGAATCGGCAACTCCAAGGAGATGAGTATTCCATGAAAACCCTCTGGTTATGTCAAAATAACTATGGAAAATCACCATTTATAGTGAGATGTCCCATTAAAGATTGTTTTTTTTAACATAGCCATGGAAAATCCACCCATTTTTAAGAGGGAAATCAACTATTTCGACTGGGCCATTTTCAATAGCTATTTTGACATAACCAGAGGGTATATCCCATGTGTTTAGATCATCTAATGATATCCAACTGCATCAATGTTTATAGCCATAATATTTTAATATGCCATTAATATAACATGGGATTAATATAATAATATAAGATCATTCTAGCTTTGAGCCATTTATAATGGGTGAAGCCAGGGAATTCACGAACCAGGGTTACAAACCAGTTATCCCGGAATTGGATGCTGGGAAAAATCAGGACACCCCTATGTTCGGAGGTAAAAAGCCATGGTTTCAGGCTAAGATTTTCCGTCGAAAAGCACCCAAAGTCTCTAAGTATATGATCCAAATTATAACTGCAGTCTGCCCCTACTTAACCTACTTATAACATCTTATAACCCACTTGCTATTCCTGGCTACTTCGCCACCAAGTAACTAAATTAAGTTACTAACATGGTGAACCTTAGATACCTGCCACACAGATCCGTTTTTTGCTGGTGAATGGACTAACCGTACCATAAGTAGCAAAAGATTCAAGTACTAGTTCGTATCTTAAAAAGGTTGATCCAGCCGATAGCTCAGGTCATGGTTAAAACCCATAGTTATCATCATACGGAATCATACGTGTCTGAGTGAGAACTAGTCACTGGCCTCAATTATTCCATATGATTCCATTGTTAGTTTGGAATCTCCCTTTCTCTCCCTAAACCCTAAATCAAGCAACACTCCCCTGGTATTATTAATAATATTATCTACTAGGATGTAATACAAAGATAGGACTAGTAGTATTACATTAACAATATTATCTTATTGCGAGTACTACTTGGTGGTTCGTCCCAGTTAGTAAGTAGGCTATAACCCTGATTATAAATGCGCTAAGTAGGCTTAGTTCACTTATAGGTGGGGTTATAACCCACTGACGATTCCTGGGATGGACCACCAAGTAACCATATTTCTAACCCATAAACAAAAGTTGCTGGAGTTGTGTTCACCAACTTGGCTAACTATGGGGCACCAACTTGCAAGCCCATTTTTATCTGTTATCTACTATCATTTTTTTTGTCAGGGCTTACTATCATGGTTACCAGAATATACCAGGATAACGATCAACTGGCATGATCTATTCCCAGCACTGTGGTCAAAACAATAATAAACCATCCCCCAGTCATCACCATTTTTATACAGTAGGTGGTATAAATCATTCCCAAATGGGTAGTTTATTATTGCTTTAACCACATTACTACACTGTCATTGCATTCCCATTAAAATCCCTATGTTCATTATGTTTTAATCCATCACTAGCCCCACCTCAACTCCAGGCTATGCGCGGGTCGAGTTGTTATTGTTTTTTTCACATTAATTACTAAGTATCCAATTATTCTTCTATCATATCCACTAATATCCCACTATATTCCATTAGATCCCATAAGTATCCCATACCCAGATGCTCCATGTATGGAATATTTACCTACAAAACTGGGTGATTTTGTTCGGGCAAATGTTGATTCCATACATGGAGCATCTGGGAATATCAATGTTTGGCATTAGTAAGTTGGGATGATGACATTCCCAACTGAATGGAAAGTCATTCAAAATTCCATGGTTCCAAACCACCAACCAGATTAGATCTCATAAGCATCCCATAAGTATTATCACCAACTACTTTATACCATCTTTATACCGAGGAAAAACCAACGCAGGTGGCTCATGTTCACAACCTTGGGTACAAAAATCCTCAAAAATGCCAAACAATAAATGCCAGAGTAGATCTCATAAGTATCCCATAAGTATCCGCAAAAATGCCCCAAGTCCTCTGGCATCCGCAGCCACTGCAGTCGTGGCCCCAGCTGCTTTGGCACGTGCCCCGGCCGCGGCAGGACCAGCACGTCGAAGTCGCCTCAAGGAGACGACTCGACCGGGGACCATCGGGGACCATCGTTGGCACTTAAAAAGCTGGGAAAAATAGGGAGTTGACCACTTAAAAAGCTGGGAAACCATGATTTAACATGATTTAACATTGAAGAAATGTGGTCTTAATGGGATTTGACATGATTTCACCATAGTTTTTGAAGTCTGATCTCATGGCATTTATTGAATGAAAAAAAACATAATAATCATTAACAACTGGGATTTAATGGGGGTTGATGGGATTCAATGGATATTACTGGGGATTGAATGGAAGGCGACATGTTTTCTGTACAGAATGAACTTGAGATTTAAAAGAACAACCAAAACATCGAAGCAAAACAAGAGATCAGAAACTGGAACCATGGGATAACATCGGATAACATGTACAATGTACTTGAACAAAACAACTCAAGTATGAGTTTTGAGGAACACAACGTAAACACTTTAAGGAATTGCCGAAACTTGGCACCAAGTAGAATCGTAGAATTTATGGTTTTTTCCGCTTTGAATCATATCCTCCCAAAATCTCTCCAAACATGGGCTTTGCACAGGCACTCCAGGACTCTTTCCAACTATTTCATCATCTCATGTGACGTCCTCAAAAAGTCCAAAAAAAACTAGCTAACGACTGCAGGTTTGTCCGCTCCTGTCATGTACCAATGTCATGTCGAGCTTTCAACCGTTGCAACCCACAAACTTCGGCATCAAACCACCTTTTATCATTCTCACCGCAATGCTCCATTCATGACAGCGGAAGATCCCAAGCTACCCATTCATCTTTCAAAATCTCTGGGCTCGCCTCCCTTGTGACGATCGCAAGTTACATCCATATCAAGTTCATAGGATCCGACCAAACCCCTTCACTTCACGCGAGTCGTTACTGCCGCGACGACCCCCCGCCCCACTGCCAATGTTTGGGCGAATCGTAACCATCAATTGGGGGAGTCACATTTGGGGGATGTGTTTTGTTTGATATATCTTAAGTCCCAACCAAAACTGACATATATGTTTATGACTTCAAAGTGTGTTTTCTAAGATATCAAGCTGTCATATCAGTGATTGTTTTTTCCACATGTTTCTCTTCCCATTACATCCCATCTGGTTGGTGGTATACCTACCCCTCTGAAAAACATGAGTTCGTCAGTTGGGATGATTTTCCATTCCCAACTGTTTCTGGAAAGTCATTCAAAATTCCATGGTGCCAAACCACCAACCAGCCATTGAGTCACCATAATTTTTACCCTCTGGTAAACTAACATAACTATGGAAAATCACCATTTTTCATGGGAAAATCCACTATAAATGGTCATTTTCAATAGCTATGTTAAATTACCAGAGGGTAATGGGGGAGTCACAGATTTTTCTTGGAGAAATCCCATTGGTCCCACATAAAAAAAACGAAAAATCGCCAGAGTCACGTAGCAGCTGATCTCCTGGGACCATAAAAAACCCAGCAGGAATGCGATCCAGAGATGGATTTTCTCATGTTAAACAAGATGTTTTTCTGGCTGGATAGTTGTATCATGTTATATCCCACTAAACCCCGTGAAATCCAATTTAACCATATCTGGTTGGTGGTTTCAACCTACCCCTCTGAAAAATGATGGAGTGAGTGAAAGTCAGTTGGGATGATGACATTCCCAACTAAATGGAAAGTCCTTCAAAATTCCATGGTTCCAGTCACCACCAACCAGAACAATGTGTTTTTTTCTCGAAAAATGCAGGATTAGAATGGAATGGAGCATTCATTCATATGTTCAATGTTCGATCATTCTATCAATATTAATGCGTTTGCGCCGAGATTTTCCCATGGATTTCCCACTTAAAATCCAACACATTCCAACCGGGACGAGGGATCCAGGCTGGGCAGCCCCGAAGTGCTCATATGGTGGCGTCGCCCCAACAAACAAATTAGGAAGTTGCGGAAACATGTGCATAATACAAAAAAACTCATACCATCTGATTGTTTTAAACATAGCCATGGAAAATCACCATTTTCAATAGGTAAACCATGGTAAACCATCTATTTCTATGGGCCATGGCTTCCATGGCTATGTTAAATAACCAGAGGGTACTTGAAAGCCAGCAGCCAGGAATGATTGAATGGTCGAAATCTGGCCATCTCAGAATTCATCCGTCCGAAAAAAGGTATAGATTTCTTCTATACCTTTCGGCCATACCATACGGCTGATTAGTAGAACTAGGGTGAACCCTCAGCCATGGCTATGAGTCAAATTAAGTCATGGTGAAAATGGATGCTTCTTCGGCTTATTCCCTCAAGATTATGGTGATTTCATAGGTTTTGGCCCATCGCCAAGTAATAAAAAAGGGATCCTAAATCCAAAACTGGTTCTGGATTACCTTACCTTACTCACTCAACCCACCCGCGACCGCCACTTCAGTTTCCTGTGACAACGACCTTTTGGTCCTGCGGGAGGTTCAACAGGAAACCATCTTCGATAGAGTCTATGCTTGGTACTTCATCCCAGGAATCGTAAGTAGGTTATAACCCTGATTATATATACATATATACAATGTGGGGCCCCCCAGTTATAAGATGGTTTATAAACCCCATTAACCATAGTAAATAAGTACCATAAACCATAGTTATTGGAGTTATGTTCACCAACTTAGCTATCTTGGGGGCACCACATTGTAGGGGCCAAGTAGGGTTAGTTCACTTACAAAAAAGGGGTGTACTCACCCACCTTACCGGGATGAACCACCGAAGATGTCCATCTTTTCTCTGCATGGTATGCATTCCCAACCCCAAGTCATAGCTAGAAAAGTGGGAATCCGAGACACGTGGCGTACCCTCTGGTTATGTCAACATAGCTATTGAAAATGGCCATAGAAATAGTGGATTTTCCCATTAAAAATGGTGATTTTCCATAGTTATGTTCAATTACCGGAGGGTATGAGCTCCTGAAAACACTTGGGATCGGCATCTTTTTGAGAATGGAATGGCTCCAGGCTCACCGCGGTGATTTTGAGAAACGGAACAAACATTCGAGAAGCAACTTGCAGCAATAACCCAGATGCTCCATGTATGGTATATTTAACTACAAAACTGGGTGATTTTGTTCGGGCAAATGTTGGTAAATATTCCATACATGGAGCATATGGGTAAAGGAACAGAACATGGTCATAGATAATCTTGGCCACCTTTCACGGTAGTCATTCTTAGTCACAGTATTGTCTCATTTCTGGACTTGTAGCAAATTTATTCCGTCAAACCTACCATATCCATCCATATCCAACTTTACCGACAGATTCAACTAATTTGTCAAGTTACTTAGTTACTTTGGATTGGGCCTAATTAAACATGGGTACTTATTCAAGTGATGGCGATAAAATCCCCAGAATAGTGGATGTCCCATTGGGAGAAACATCAGCGACGCAAATCCAAGATATTTGGGTAAAACCCAGCTAAAAGCCCTCCATTGATAGTGGATGTTCCCATACTTTCCCATGTTTTTCCTATCATCTTCAGCCCCCCCAAAAAAACCCTTGAACTCCGATTAAATCCCACTATAATCCCATTAATTGTCAACCCATTCAATCCCATTCATATTCCATAGTTCCATGGATTTTCAGGGCCCCCAAGATAGCGTTCAGTTGGTTTATAACTACAGTTACTAGGCTTTATGCTTGTTATAACTAGACTTAGATGGGGTTACAAACCAAAAAAACAGAACTACAATGTGGTGCCCCCCAGTTATAAATTGGTTTATAAACCCCATTAACTATAGTTATAAGTACCATAAACCACAGTTATTGGAGTTATAAACCAACTTGACTATCTAGGGGGCCCCACATTCTATGTTCATTTGCCACATCGGGTATCTGCTTCATCCCTTTCGAGCCTCAGGCATTCCAGGTTTCCAAGCTTTGTTGAGTGATTTCCAGCTCTGCCTCGGCTCGTCAGCGGCGTCAGATGATTCAGATACGTAGTTTCTATGGGATAACATTGCCAATCTTACCCATAGGATCCATGTATGGTATATATGGTATATATGGTAACATGGATCCCATCAATATACCCCCTTTATGTTAGCATATATACCATACATGGATTGATCCTATGGGTTAGATACCCTACAAAAAATCGATTCTTAGCTGTTTAGAAATAGAATGAAATAGATAATCCCATTGATACCAAAAAGATCCGAAAAGACTATTCAGGATTAAAGTACCCATCCAGCCGGTTAACCTAGATATAAGTTCTGGTTATTCAAAGCGATTTGATGGGTTTCACCGTTTCACCAGGCAAAACTGGAGGTGAATATCATGGTGATCTATATTTGGATTTCATGGGATTTATGGTGATTTATATATATATATATAATGGGCTTTGGTGAGAATATTATGATTGGGAATAGTGAATGGGATTTACCCATCAAATGTGATTGAGTCATAGTCATAGTGATTTCATGATTTTATCATTGGATTGATTGAAGGGTAAACGAAATCGGAAAGCAGGGTTTCCCCCATCAAGTATACGGGTGTGCTGCAATTTTATCTTGAACAAGTCCAATCATTTTAGAGTTTGTTTACATATTTGTTAACATCATTCCTACAAATAGAGTTGGTCATTCTATGCTGATTTTGCTCTATTAAATCGTCCTCTTTGGGATGTTCATATGTACACTCCGGAAACACAATCTTTCAACAGAAAACTTCCATTGATACGAAAATCATTGAAAATCAATAGATGTCTAGTCTAGTGATTAGCTCATCTGGCTGCTAACCATTGCCATGTTTAAATGTGTCAAGGGCCAGGTCAACACGTGGGAGGTTTGAGATAAGGAAACCTTCCATGTGCATGCCTATGCTCACGTCGGCCAAAAAATGCACCAAAACCCATCAAACTGAGCCATAAATATATGCCTGTCTGACCCCACTGTGCTAAACAAAAACGGGTAATTAGATGTAATTAGTACAACTCCCATGTCAGAACCAGCATCTGCAAGGGTTCGTGTGTGTAATGGCTCGACGGGAAAAAACAGCAATCAACCTACCCTGCCTTTAATTGTACCAACATGTTTTATCCAGTTGGGTATGATGTGACAAGCAGCAGGCACCAATCATAGATCATAGGGTGTAGATGGGTGTAGAACATAGATGAACACATGAGACTGCCAAAAAAGGCAGTCTCAGTATGTGAAAATAACTGCCATGAAAGCAATCACTCACAACAATCAACAGTTGATAGTTGATAGTTGATATATGTTGATATCATGATATCATTAAAATCAAAGCATGATTTACAGGATGGGGCCCCCAAGATAGCGTTCAGTTGGTTTATAAATGGCTGAATTCTATGGTTTATGGTAGATATAACGAACTAGATAACTATGGTATTCATGGGGTTTACAAACCAACAAACATCACTGGGGGGCCCCATCCTGTAAGATCACGCTATTCCAAAATCCATACTACGCTGATCCTGTCGAATCGAAGACCTACCAAGAATACAGTTACCAAGCAGGTGCTAAAAAAACAATCGTTTGTTCGGATATTTCTCAGTTGAAACCCTACAAAAAGCGTGTTTCCTGAGCCCACATGTTTGCTGATATGATTTGATATGCTTTTCCCTTTCTGGTTTTCCTTTTCAAAACGCAATCTTTGCTTGGAAAGCCACCTTCGGCCATAGCAGTTGTGGTCCTCGGCAAAGGGCACGCAGGTCGAAGATGACAAGCCGCTTGGAACCTCTCCACAAACTTTTCCCAGTCGCTTTCCCTTGGCACTTCCTTGTTCAAGAACAAAGCAACATATCTGGGATGGTGCCATCCTCGACAAAGTTCTCGGAAGGTAAACTCTCGGCAAACTCGAAAAAAGCTGTCATCACCCAGATGCGAACCATGGTGCTGGTATATTTAACTATTTTAACTACAAAACTGGGTGATTTTGTTCGGGCAAATGTTGGTAAATATTCCAGCACCATGGAGCATATGGGTCAGGCTTCATGAGGACCCCAAGTGCTGGCTGCGACATGGAAATGCACGGGGTTCCCCGGCCACGCTTCCTCCTTGGACTGGGTGTCCCCGTCCGACGGAGTGAGGTGATAGTGAGTGGTTCTTACTCAGAGAGGACCAAAATTATGAGATAGGATACCCTCTGGTAAACATACAAAAACTATGGAAAATATTGGAACATTACCATCTTTAATGGGTTTAAATCAACGAACTAAATGTGGAATTTTCCATAGCAAACTGTAACAAATTACCAAGAGAATATTCGTTTTTTTTTGGTCTTCTGATCCACTAGATTTGGGGTTGCAAATCTAAGCACAGCCATCGTTAGAAATGGTTATCTTGTGCCCCAACATTAGTACCCATTCCCTTCCGCCAAACAACCATGCTTGATGGTTAAACGGTTAAACCCAACCGTGCGTCTCAATCAGTTTACCAAAATATCCAACTTGTTTTCCCGGCCACACCTGCATGTTTTCAAGATTATGGATGGTCAACATCCCTGTTTTCATTGACAGTTGGTGGTTCACTACCCATTGTGCTTCATAAAATCCACCGTTGATGGTTAAATTACCCTCTGGTAAACAAACAGTTTGCTATTGAAAATGGCCATTTATAGTGGATTTACCCATTAAAAATGGTGATTTTCCATAGCTATGTTAATTACTAGAGGGTATAAATACCATGAACCATAGTGAAATTGGACTTATGTTCACCAACTGAACGCTATCTTGGGATATCTTGGGGGCCTCACATTGTACAACTAATTTAACTGCTTGGTGGTTAAGTATCCCCGTTTATTCTTCTATTATATCCATCAATATCCCATGAAATATTCCATTAGGTCCCATAAGTATCCTGGTTGGTGATTTGAACCCCTCTGAAAAAATATGAAAGTCAGTTGGGATGATGACATTACTGAATGGAAAGTCATAAAATTCCATGGTTCCAAACCACCAACCAGATAAGATAAAACATGGTGAAACTAAGTAAACATAGCTGGGGCCTCGCCTATCCAATTACTGGGATCTGGTGCTTGAAGCCTTCTGGGTGCGCAACCCATCAGCTACCGAGAACACCCAGGTCACCAGTTGGTTTAACCCCAGATCAGATTTTAACTTTTACTTGGCTTGGGAACCATGTGTGAAAAGTATTGAAAAGTAATGTCCAAAATGTCACTCGTTCTTCCGAAAATTCTGGGGTTTTAATATCCCAAATCCTGAATCATTGCCAATCTTAGATACACAACAAATGACCAATTCTGAGCTGGTGAGTTAGTAGATAATCCCATTAATAATGGTTAATAATTATGTAATAATTAATCGTTAATAATGGTTAATAATGGGTAATCCCATACCAAAAGACTATTCAGGAATAGTTTGTACCCATCCAGTCTGTTAACCTAGGAACCAGAGGTCATTCTTGCAAAACATATGCCCAAACCATCACCGCCCAGCTGACTCGCCGAAGAGATACGGGCTTCGACCCTCGTCCAGCCAATCCGAACCGATGACCTAAAGCGCTCGGAGTGGGATTTTGGAGTGGGATTTGACCATCAAAAAATGAGTTGGACATGGGGGAAATACCCTCCAGTAATCAAACGTGGCAACGGAAGATTTCCATTTTTTTTTCCCCATTCAAACTCCATTTATAGTGGATTTTCATGTGTTGTCAATTGCCATGTTTGAGTACCAAAGGATATATTTTTTTTTTAAAAAAATACTTTACTTCGTGTGATCCCCACCATGACATTTATACATTTTCTTACTGGCAAATCTTCTGGCATTCTATCTGACATATCTTCTGACATTCTATTTGACATTCTATCTGGCATATCTTCTGGCATATGATCTGGCATATCTTCTGGCATATCTTCTGGCATTCTATCTGGCAAATCTTCTGGCATTCTATCTGGCATATCTTCTGGCACTCTATCTGAAATATCTTCTGGCATTCTATCTGGCATATCTTCTGGCATATATTCTGACATATCTTCTGGCATTCTATCTGACATATCTTCTGGCATATATTCTGCATATCTTCTGGCATATCTTCTGGCATATCTTCTGGCATATCTTCTGACATATCTATCTGGCATATCTTCTGGCATATTTTCTGGCATTCTATCTGGCAAATTCTTCTGGCATTCTATCTGGCATTCTATCTGGCATATCTTCTGGCTATCTGGCATATCTTCTGGCATATCTTCTGACATTCTTTCTGACATTCTTTCTAACTTTCTTCTGCACATTCTTTGTCCCATATCTTCCTACATGAGGTCCGGCAGGGAACACTTGGCGTGGATACTCGCGGTTGAGGTCCGGCAGGGAACACTGGGCGTGGATGGTCGTGGTTGAGGTCCGGCAGGGAACACTGGGCGAGGATGGTCGTGGTTGAGGTCCGGCAGGGAACATTGGGCGTGGATGGTCGTGGTTGAGGTCCGGCAGGGAACACTGGGCGTGGATGGTCGTGGTTGAGGTCCGGCAGAGAACACTGTGGATCGCGGGTCGCAGTTGAGCAAGGACGACGAGGACGACGAGGACGACGAGGAGGACGAGGAGGAGGAGAGGAGGCGGAGGAGGAGGAGGAGAAGGAGGAGGAGGCAACTGACATAAAATCTAACAACCCTCACCTGGCAGGTGGGGAACAATACATTGGCTTGATACAAAACATGAAAAACATGTACCCAAGACATGTGCAGGACGTTCCTTTTTCGGATGGTGAAACAGCAAACCACCCCTTTTTGCACAAACATCACTGGGGAATGACATCGTCCCTATCTGGCCCATCTTTTTGGTGCACTTCAAAAGATTTCTCCAGGGCAAAAAAATCTCCATGAGCCCGTCGAGTCCCCAAGCTGTGAAGCTGTGCCATCCGGGATAAAGCTGGACATGCTGAAAACTACATCGGCACCAGGAAGAATTAAAGGTCACTGGTTGGTGGTTGACCTACTTCTGACAAATATGAGTTCGTCAGTTGGGATTATGAAATTCCCAACTGAATGGAAAAATAAAAACATGTTCCAAACCACCAACCAGGTCAATATGTCTTCAGGGCTGTCTCTGAAGATGGGTCATACCCCATGAATCGCAAGTTTACTGGTGAACATCATGATGAACTGTCAGATGTTGAAAGACTTTGGAAGTACCCTATTTTCAAACAAACCGAGGTGGCGCCTTCAAAATACTCAGGTTGCTGTTTTGTGCTAAGCATTCCATGGCCAATCTTGGATGCCCTGCATTTAGCTGCTGAGTGTATGGCCACCATTTAAGTTGCAACAAACTAAGTTGCCCAAAGGAACCCATTCAATGTTTCCTGTGATTACTAAGCATCAAGACCAAAATGCTTGTTCCTGCATCTCATACGTCATACTATTCACCCAACGCTTTTATGATACCGATTGGTCTGCGACATTAAGCTAGCATTCCCCTCTCTAAGCTAATCACTAGGGAAACAGAAGCCCCAACAAATCCGGAAAGGTTACACTAGTTACCAAATCAGAAATAAGAATATAACTTCTGGTTGTTTTTTTCCCCAGCTCCTTTCACCTTTGCTCAAACTGCAGCGTGCTCGGCCAGTGATGTTGCTAGAAATTGCACAACACTTCTGTGGCTTGCAATGTGGTGATACCCAATGTGATACCCCCAGTTGTGTCTGTTAGCCTGCAAATCCCCAACAACTTTTGGTGAATCTATGGGATTTGTGGGGATTTCATGGGGATTTCATGGGAACATATAGGAATAGTCACTATAACTGGAGCTTTTGAGCTGCCACAACCACCATCCCATAAAAACCAAGCGCGACTGGGAAATCCTTCAGTAAGCGACCGGGGCAACCGGTTGTAACTTGGGGGACCTGGGGATGGTAACTAACCATCCCGCCACCATTGGGGACACCATGTTGATAGGTGGTGTGTTTACCATGACATTGTTTTAACCACATCTTGGTATACCTACCCCTCTGAAAAATGATGGAGTCAAAGTCAAAGTCACTTGGGAAAACATGAAATTCCCAACTGAATGGGGAAGTCATAATCCATTCATCTTCACCACCAACCAGTCAGGGTTAATCACCATGAAATACCCATTTTCCTATGGGTTTTCCTATGAAATCACCATTTTCCCATGGTTTTCCCATGGTTTTATAAATCCAACCAGGTGGTAGACCTAAGATACCATCACCCAGGGTAGCACCCTCTTGGCTTCCGCCCAGTCGCGAAGGAGAAGTCGATGTCGGGATAAGTGTCCCGCAATTCGCACCTTTGGAGGCCCACTGAACGCACTAATAATGGGGCAATAATGGGTATAACTATGGTAATATAATGGGAATATCATGGGAATATAATGGGAATATCATGGAATAGAATATATCACCAACAATATTGATACCCTCTGGTAATTTGTTACACTTTGCGATTGAAAATGGCACATAGAAAGTTCGTTGATTTACCTATCAAACATAGTGATTTGTCATAGCAAACTGTTAGTTTACCAAAGAATCCAAAGACTAAGGTATGTCTGTGCACTCTGAAAGGATTTTAACACAGTTGACAGCCCTGGGTGTTTGGTGGACTCCAAAAAACCAACCGCCATTTACTTGCTGGGATGATCCTTCAAAAAAGGACCGCTGGAATTTCCCGTTGAATCATACTGAATCTACAAAGAAACGGTCAAAGTGAGAACCTCATAATACCCTTAGGATCCATGTATGGTATAAATGCTAACATTGGGGGTATATTGATGGCAAATGTTACCATATATACCATACATGGATCCTATGGGATTAAGATGTTTTCTTGCAAAACAATGGTCAACCCTAGATAACCTGCAGAAGACTTAGCTCTCCCGAACTATCTAAGGAACTTGAAATTTATGTGTTACCAAAAAATGGAAGAACACTCTGGTGCCAATGAATGCCTTATGTATTATATAATGTGGAACCCCGTCAATGGTTTGCAAATCTTCCGATGGCAAACTATTAGAGTACTAAAGTGCCAATCCCAACACAGTTAAGTCTTCTCCCATCATAGCCAATTTCTGGTCCACACAAAAAAATCAAAAACACATCTTTGGCTGGTGATGTTCATTCTATATGAATTATGTTCAAGAAACATCTTTCAACGTATTATTGAGAGTACTAAATTTCTTTGGGAAAAAAAAACCTACCATCTGGTTATGACTAACATAGCCATGGAAAATCCACCCATTTTTAATAGGTAAACATCTATTTCTATGGGCCATCTATACCATGGCTATGTTAAATAACCAGAGGGTACACGAATCAGCGTACTATACGTTTTTTTTGCAGAAAACTCTTCAGGATCTACCAATCCACTTGGGCTAGGCGCAGCATATCGTAGGTGTAGAAGGCCGTGTCCCCTTGGTCATCAGCTCGGTGGGGCCCCAAAAACGGAGATTCGAATGCGAAAAACGTCACAAAACCATGGGAAAATCACGGGAAAACATAAGATAATATAATAAGATCAACTTCAAATTCATTATAAATGAGTAATATAAATGGAGGTTTCTAGCTGGGAACACCATCCGAGTATTTCTGCTGGCTTTTCCGGCAAGCCATGTGACTGATGACACCGGAGGTTTACGTGTGATTTTAATTGTGTCAACCAAACACACCCATAGGATCCATGTATGGTATATATATATGCTAACATTGGGGGTATATTGATGGTAAATGTTACCATATATACCATACATGGATCCTATGGGACATGAAAATGCAGCTACTTTTGCGCAAACACGGGAAAAATTGAACTCTCGTCACACCAGAAAGTGGCCCTTAAAATGGACGACGAAATGGCCAAGCAATTTCACAGAAGAATCAATTTCCGATTTTTCTTGTCTAGGGATACGACAACTGGTTGGTGGTTTCAAACATTTGGATTATTTTCCATAAGATATGGGATAATCCATGATAATCCTTCCCATTGACGAACTCCATCATTTTTCAGAGGGGTAGGTCAACCACCAACCAGACAAATATCTAACGTAGGCTGGAGAACCATCCTCCAAGTGGACTATGAAATGGACCCGCCATAGATGTATCATGGGCAAATGGCTAGCCTGAGGTATCCCCCACAGGAGGTTTATGGCCAAAAAATGATGCTCAACGAAACCATAGGACATTTCACATTAAACATCAAACTTACACTTATTTAACTTAATATTCACCCATACTAAACCAACGTAAATTCTAAACTTGACCAATGGAACGCAAACAAAATAGCCTAGTGGGATATTCTGATCTGCCGCATCAGCACGTCAAAACATGTTCATGACGAAACATGTTTTTCTGCGGGAAATAGCTCAAAAAGAAAAACATGTGGTAAACCTCAAAATATAAACCTCCCCAATAGAGGTTTAGTGAAATTAGGCATACTTCTATTTGAAATGGAAAAATATCCAAACATATGTATATATATATATATTGTATAGGAATTGCGTGAAACTGCACGCAACCAGATAATAAATTTTATACATGTAATTATCAAATTCATCAAGACTTTTTCGAATCCGTGTTCAGCGGAGAAGCAGCAAACTTTCGCTTGGCAGCTCCGCACCTTTTTGTGCATTAGTACCACTGTAGAATTCAAATGAATTCAATGCAATGTAACATGGACTGCGGGATATTATTATATCACTGCCAATCTTAGATACCCTGCAAAAAATTAAATTCTTTGCTGGTTAGCAATTATTCCCATTAATACCAAAAGACTAAAGGATTAAAGTATCCATGTAAGATTGACCTAGTTATTGGGACTTAAATAACCATTGACCATGGTGATTTACAGGGATGTGTAACTAACCAACTATATCCAACTTGGGTGCGTTGTGGCCAAGTTCATGGGGAAATGATGATGAACCAATCGTTTTTATCATATGGCCACCCACTTCTTGCGGTCACCCAAAACAAGACCCTGTCTCAGAACCCAGGAACCAAGTTGTTCCAAAGGCTAGTTGTATACCAATGGATACCAATGGTCACAACTCATTCATGAGGACTTTGTTTAATAACTTTGCGGCATCCTTACCCGCGTTGGGGCGGTAGTTCCTCATGATGATCCGTCCAGATCAAAGCCCATGATGTCCAACCATGTTACCACCTGGTTATGACTAACAGTTTGCCATGGTTAAAATCACCATTTTTAATAGGTAAACCATCTATACTAAATGGGATATTTTCCATGGCTATGTTAGTCATAACCAGAGGGTAAGTCATAATCCGATTTTTCCAGTAATATGCCATGAATATCTCATTGATAATCCATGAATATTCCATACAATTGCAAATGGACCTTGGTCTCCGGTACTCCGGTGTAAGATGTTGACCCTCCAACATGGCAAGTGTCCACTCCAAAGCACCGGTTGACGAGTTGGGGGTTGGTTGTTTTCTGTTACTGCTGAAGATAGATATGAAGCACCATCATCCTAACATGACGAAAAATGTTGGTTGATTATTTGTTCCAGTCAAAGATTTGAAAAGCAGCAAAGTATCCTTTCAACCTGGATGTGCATCGCACTTAGTAAGTGGTTTATAATCCAGAAATAACTGGGAATCTTCCAACTGGCCGATCTGCTTCGCAAAAACCACCTGCGATACCATCTGGTTATGACTAACAGTTTGCCATGGACAATGGCCCATAGAAATAGATGGTTTACCTATGAAAAATGGGTGGATCTTTCCATGGCGAACTGTTAGTCATAACGGTGGTACCTGCGCACCTCCAAAATCCCAGGCTCTGTAAGCTTCGATGTCCAGCACTTTCACTGGGAAGGCCGGAGCGAAGCAGGAATTCACGGCAATCTGACACATGCCTCGAGCAGAAGTTCCACTTCACGTCGTGACGTCGTGTGGGATTCAACCAATATATAAACCATCCCCAAGTCATCACCATTTTGATGGTATCATATGGTAATTTGTTACATAGCTATTGAACATGACCCATTTAGTTCGTTGATTTACCCATTAATAGCATGGCGATTTTCCATAGAGGGTATCTATAAACCATCCCCAATTGTTGGAGTTGGTTTGTGGCAGGTTTCCTACATTGTCATACATGACATGTTTGTTGCGAATAAGCCTCACATATCACCGTTTCACACAACACCGGCCACACCCCATGGGAACCCCAGTCTCCCATGGCTGGCTGCCACCATGGCTGGCTGCCGGGATGCAATATCTGTCCATGGCAGAGGTTTTCCTTGAGCGGGTGGGACCCAGGGCATCAATTCTTGGAGGCACAATCAAACATGGTGAATCTTCAACGTTAATATACTGTTAATAATGGGTAATGTAATGTGATTATATGGTTAATGATCATGAATAATATGGTTTATCAATAATATCTGGTTGATATATATATAATATATATATATATATATAATTGTATATACTGTTAATGGTGGTTAATGATGATGGTTGTTATATGGTTAATGATGGTTATGGTCAATAACTATCTGGTTGGTGCTATACGTACCCCTCTGAAAAATAATGGAGTTCGTCAGTTGGGATGATGACATTCCCAATAGATGGAAAAATAAAATTCATGTTCCAACCAGATATCCTCGGGTAATCAAACATGGCTTGCCGGAAAATGATCGATGTCTATAGGTGATTTTCCCATTCAAACGCAATTTACAGAAGATTTGTTTTTCCCGGTTGCTACGTTTGATTACCGGAAAAAAGACTTGCTTTTAGCTGCTCAGTAGTTTTTGCCTTTTATGGGGAAAAAATGGGAAAAATGGCCCCACTGAACCAAGAATGGCCCATTTTGAGACACAACTCAGTGACGATTCCGAACTGGGCCCATGCGAAAAATCCACTTCAGCTAGGATTTACTGTAAACATTACCCTCTGGTTATGACATTCACAGTTCGCCATGGAAAATAGCCATGGTCCTAATCGAAATAGATGATTTTCCCAGCGAACTAAAGCTCCATTTATTTTTGGGGATTTTCCATGGCGAACTGTGAGTCATAACCAGTTTTGCCAAAAAAATGATGAGGAAACCCACGGTTTACCCGAGAAAACGATCTACCATCTGATTATGACTAACAGTTCGCCATGGAAAGATCCACCCATTTTTAAGAACGGTCAACCATCTATTTCGATTAGGGCCATGGCTATTTTCCATGGCGAACTGTTAGTCATAACCAGAGGGTAAATCACCATTTTCCTATGGTTTTCCTATGGTTTTTACATCGACATGTGAATCTATGTTAGCTTACAGTGGGAGGGTTCTGCCAAAGATCCCGGGAATTTCCAAGCTGGTTTCTGCTCTGTTAGGTGGCTCCCCCAGGATTCAATCCCTAAGTTGATGCGAAAATTCACTGGCTTTGCAAAGGGTTTGATGGTACCCTCCAGTAAATTAACATAGACCCTGCCAGATAGGGGTTGGAAGATTAGTTTCCATTAAAAACTGGTGATTCTCAGGGTCTATGTTTATTTACCAGAGGGTAGATATGCCTTCTGTAATCTATACTGGTTGGTGGTTTCAACCTACCCCTCTGAAAAATGATGGAGTGAGCTCGTCAGTTGGGATGATGACATTCCGAACTGAATGGAAAAATAAAAAAATGTTCCAAACCACCAACCAGAATTGGCCTTTAAAAACAAACGTAGCTAGGGGGGGCACCACAGACATAGTGACGGCCTGGACCAGCATAGTAGTAAGCCTTTCTGGGGGTTTCAATATGTTTCAATGCCTCAAGGGCTGGGGGCGAACCCCCAAATAGTAAATCCAGAAACAACATGGTGTTTATTGGTGATTGATATTATCATGTTCGTTGATTTTCGGCGGCTCCCATCACCATCAACTTCTCCTTATTTGGTTGGGTAAACCGTATGATAAACAACATGTTCGATGTTTCAAATCCCTCTGTCATTCCATCATGGACAAACTGGTTGATATGCACAAAATGAGCTCCCCCCAACTTATACGTTGCTTTCGTGTTTTTTTTTTCGTGGTATCCGCAATTCCTATAGAATTCACCGTACGAAGAGACTGTGCGTCAACCTAGCTATCCTCACCGTACGTAGGGGTGTAGTGGCTGATGATAATAATCAATCTGCTAGTGTAATCATGATATACCCGGCCTGGTAAACTGTCACAGGTCACAGAACTATGGAAAATCACCATCTTTAAGTTCGGTAAATCAACGATTTCTATGGGGCATTTTCAATAGCAAACTGTTAGTCATTACCAGAGGGTAAGATTGAGGATAAGGATAGTAGAAAATCCAGAGAAATCCATCATATAAGTCATCTAGTGGATGATGATAATATATGATACCCTCTGGTAAATTAACATAGCTATTGAAAATGGCCATAGAAATAGTGGATTTACCCACCAACTGACAGAGGCATTGAGCACTGCTCAGACTCCATAAGACGCCATGACCAAGTTCCACACCATTCCCATTACCATACCACAATTCCACAATGTTTGATCACACTACCTGGTTGACTTGATATATTATATGCAATTAGATCCCAACATATCCTCAGTGTTTGTTAACCTTAAACCATCTTAAACCTACATTGAATTCCCTAATATGTCGTCTTATTGGACTGGGCTGAGCACTGCTCAATTACCCCCGACCCTCTGGTAATCTAACATAGCTATCCAGCCATAATTTTCATTAGATAAAAAAAATCTATACATGAAACATTGTCCATAGATATCCGCAGCTATGTATGTTAGCTTACTGGAGAGTACTTGGGGTGCATTTGGGGGTATTAGTGGCTATAACTACTGGATTTTAACCACCAGAAGTTGGAAAATATGGCAACCATTAATACCCCCCATAACTACGGTAAAATCTCACCGTCCAACCACTCACACTTATGCTTCCACTGCACTCCCCCCCAGGAATTACCCCACCAAAAATCCGTCACCATCCAGCCCTCGAGGGCACCGTCCCGCACCGTTCCCGTCGTCGACGGCGAGGCGCAAATGCGGCTTGTCCGGTCGTGGTCCGCACGGCACGATCCAGACCTCATCCGCGCAGCCGCTGTTCACGATCCTCGGTGTTTTGCAGTGGCAGCTGGGGCGTGCGAAGGTGGTCTATAACAAAAGGTATAGGGTTGATGATATGTGATATATAAACATATATTGAAATATATAATAATATATATAGAAATATCAATGGGTTCTTTTTATTTTAGTTTTTGTTCTAAAACGTTTTATAGTTGTTTCCAGTTCCATGTGTCCAGGAAAACGGTGAAAATATGCCAGGTAAATATTCCCGGTTATAAGTTGGTAAATATGTATATATCATTGGATTGGTTTAAGGGAAAATCTACAGGAAACCATGGTTTTTACCATCAAATATAAGGCTTTCCTGTAAATTTTCCCATCATCCAATTCTATGAATATATACATATATATATATATTACCCATTCACAGTAAACTCTACTTGTACCAGCTGCAACCCAACTTAGCTATGTACTCAAGTCCCAGTTTCATGGTATATTCCAAAATTAGGATTCGAAGATTGTATACACAAATAACTGGTTGGTGGTTTGAACCCCGCTGAAAAATGATGGAGTTCGTCAGTTGGGATTATGACATTCCCAACTGAATGGAAAGTCATAAAACATGTTCCAAACCACCAACCAGATAAACATCTTTTTCAGCATAATTCCAAGAGGAGATCCTCCCATGAGGAAGCCATGATAAACCGGTTTTATAGTGAAGAAATATAGGAGGCATCTTGAAAAAGATGTCACAAACCGCCAGGACTGATCTTCGGAACTCAAAACTTAGGCCTCTGATTTTCAGGTACCAAATGATATTCAGCTTGATCTTGCCATAGCCAAATGGCCGTCTTATCATCCTCAAACTCTCCCAGGAGGAGGATCATCCCATTCCAATATTTGAACATGGCCTTGAGTGTTCATTGTCTTTGAACCGATGCATGCGGGGCATTTGGAACACCCACCAATCCCTCAATTTTTGACATACCCTCTGCCAATCAAACATGGCTTGCGGTTGAACAAAACCATCATTTGCACCTGATTTTCCCAAAAAAACACCTCCATATTTATAGCTGGTTGGTGGTTTGAACCCCTCTGAAAAATGATGGAGTTCGTCAGTTGGGATTATTACATTCCCCAAATGAATGGAAAGTCAGAACATTCCATGGTTCCAAACCACCAAGCAGTGATTGTTAACCATCATTAACCATCATTAAGCATCATTAACCATCATTAACCATCATTAACCCAGACTAAACCAATGTTACAAAGCACCAACCAGTAATGGGATGTTAAACTACTTACCATCTTTGATGACAGAGGGATCTACCCAGAAAAACCCCTCACCGGGATGATCGATTCGTTCTCGCACCGAGCATCTCACTTGCACAAGTCCTTAGATCAATGGGAGATCTCCAGGATCCAATTGATGGAGGTACGTTAGTACTATATTTTTGGCCATATTTGGTGGGGATATTCCCTGAAATTTAGGCCTCAAAAATAGGCCCAAAATTATATGGAATCGGTACCTCCAATTTAGGTTCCTCAAATGGCAATTGACTAGATGAACAGTGCCTGCCTGTCCCTTCACCGTGCCGCTACGAACAGCTCTTTGATGAGCCAATGAAGCCAATGACATGAATGATGCCCAACCTTAAGTAGTACAACACATACAACACATACAACACATACAACACATACAACACATACAACACCATATCTGGATGATTCTTCAACCAATTAATACCAATTAGTACAACACCAGATCTGGATCCAACCAAACATGTTGGCTTCCTAGGCCCAAGTCAAACTCTATCCGCACAACTGAAGCTTGCAACAGGTTTCCAAGTTGAGCATATAACCCTTCAATGATGGCCAGAGATTGAAGTTGCCCATCAACCCATCAACCATCATCAACCTACCATTTGCCAGTGGATTTATCCAGATTATACACCGCACTGAAATCCCTGAAATCTGAACCTTCACGGAAGCAGCTTCATCCACCTATGCCATAGCCAACTTGGATTTGCTTTTTTGGAACACCCAAAAAATACAAGGTGGTGCCCCCCAAACGTTATAAGTTGGTTTATACACCCCATGAATACTAGTATATCACCAACAAAAACCATAGTGAAATTGGAGTTATGTTCACCAACTGAACGCTATCTTGGGGGGGCACCACCTTGTACAACACATATCCAACAGTCGAGTTCCCCAGTCGTCAGGTGGATCGACTCCGAAAATCCCAACTACTTGGTGAAAAATCCCACCTCCAGCAATATACATATTTTGGGGCTGCCGTTGGATAGCGTAAAAAGTTGGTGAACATAACTACAATTTCACTAGGGTTTATGGTAGTTATAACTATAATTATAACCATAGTTAGATGGGGATGGGGTTATAACCAAGCTTATAACGTTTGGGGGCCCCATATTTATACATATCCTGCGTTTCCCCATATGTGAAATCCTAAGATCTCCCAATTTGTCCTACATGTCCCCATGTTTTTCCCTAAAAAACTCAGCAAAATCCAAGCCAACCTCTCGACCAAGAGACATGTGCGAATTGGTTGGAGGGTCAAAAGTTCCCCCATAGATGGCCACCCGTTTTCGCTTCGTCTCAGCCAAGCTCACCTTTGGCGTTACTTGGCTTGGCTACGCAGCATGGAGAACGATGGTCACTCTTTGAAGGAACATTTAAGAACTGAATAACTTACCAATAAAATATAAGGGATGACTCTATCTATCTATCTGTCTATCTATCTATCTATCTGTCTATCTACCTATCTATCTATCCATCTCTCTATTTATATCTATAATTAATATATCTGCCGACCCCGGCCGACAGCAAGGGGGAGCGCGCTACATAATTATATATCCCATGGGATCCATGTATGGTATATATGCTAACATTGGGGGTATATTGATGGGATCCATGTTACCATATATACCATACATGGATCCTATGGGTATATAATATATATATATAATTCATGATCATTCAAACACCATGGGTTAACTGAATGAAACTGAATGACATACCCTCTGGTGAACTAACATAGCAATGGAAAATGGCCATAGAAATAGTGGATTTTCCCATGAAAAAGGGTGATTTTCCATTGCTATGTTAGTTCACCAGAGGGTAGCTGAGATTTTGCCACAACATTTCGAATTTTCGAATTCCATGGCTTTCGGCTTTCGGCTCACCATGGCTGACCCCACCTTTACAAGTTCAGACTTAGCCTCTGAAAATGGCCCATACAAGGTGGTGCCCCATAGTTAGCTAAGTTGGTTTATAAGTCCAATAACTAGGGTTTATCGGGGTTATATCGAACTAGTTAATGGGGATTATAAACCAACTTATAACTGGGGGGGGCACCACCTTGTAGAAATAGCTGATTTACTGAAGATGGTGATTTTCCACTTCGCACACTGTTAGTTTACCAAAGGATACCATCTGGTTATTGAACATAGCCATGGAAAATCCACCAATTCTTAAGTTCGGTAAACCATCTATTTCGATTAGGGCCATGGCTTAACCATGGCAATGTTAGTCATAACCAGAGGCTAAATCACCATTCATCACCATTAATCATGGATTAATCACCATTAAATCACCATTTTCCTATGGTTTTCCTATGGTTTTCCACTTCCAGCGTGGCCTTGCCCTTGGCGACCACCAGCAGCGCCAGCCCCGTTCCCAGCGCCCATCCGCCGCGCTTGGCGGCGGGCGCCACGGGGGGCACCGCAGCAACCAGGCGCCGAAGAACGGCGAAATGCGCCCGCGGCCGCCGAAGAACGCTACGCCAGGGGGCCCACATGGTGGCGAGAAGCCAAACAGCTGAGGGAAACAAACAGCGTCACCTGAAATTCAATGGATTTGACCATCTGGTTATTTAACATAGCCATGGAAAATCCCAACCATAAATGGAGGTTTATAGCTAGTGTATGGAATATTTACCAAAATTATGGAATATTTACCAACATTTGCCCCATAAATGCCACAGTTTTGTCGGTAAATATACCAGCACCATGGAGCATATGGGAATGGATTTTAAAGGAAATCTATGGTTGAAACCATGGGTTTAGGTCGCATGGCATGTCTTCAGATTTGATGTTCCAATCATCAATCATCCAAGGCTGGGATAGGCTGGGAGGCACATATATAGCGCACCGGTAGAAAAACAACCATTTTGGTCATGGGCATGGATCCTAAATTGGAGGTACCTACCATATTATATATATAAGGCCTATTTTTGAGGCCTAAATTTCAGGGAATATCCCAAGAAAAAAAATGACCAGAAATATGGTACGTTTACGTACCTCTATTTTAGGATCCTGGAGATCTCCCATTGACATGGTGAAAAAAAAGCAGTGGTGGAAGTATCCTCGTGATAACGGCAGTGGATGGTGAAAACTTGCTGGCTGAAATGAAGGTTTGTAATGGTTTGTATCTGACACTGTGGTGCCAGTGGTGCCCCCAAGTTGCAAGTTGCTTTGCAAGCCCCGTTAACTATAGATATATCTACCACAAACCCTATAGTTATACTAGATTATACTAGTATATATTAGTTATAAACCAACTTAGCTAATTCGGGGGCACCACCTTGTGAAGTGGACCCTTGTCTCACAACAATGACCCCAAATACATCGACCATCAAATCGCAGCACTTGGATACTCATTGGGTTCGGACCATCCAGAAACAGAGCATGTTACAAGGTGAAACAACCTGCACAAAGAATCCAAACTGGTTGGTGGTTTCAACCCCTCTGAAAAATATTAGTCAGTCGGGATGATTCATTATTCTCAATATATATATATATAATTTATATATATATATATGAAAAAATAAAATATGTTTGAAACCGCCAACCAGCAAATTTTGAGGCTTCGGTAATGCTGGTATCCTTTAGGCCATGTGTGTTCTGTCGAAGCTTCGATGCATCCATGGAAATGGTCGAGTCTAACTGGGGGCTACGCCACAATCCACGAGTTCAGAACGTCATTTTCCCAATGAAAATTGCCATTGAGTCAACAAACAGCCGATTTTTACAGCCCAGGTTTTGCGGTACCGGAGGGTACCTCAGTAGGTTCTAACCCTAAGCCCAGTTTTTTGTTGCAATCCTAGCTGTATTGGGAAATCATCTCGTATCAACACGTATGAACCACTCTGGAAGTTGGAGGGTTGTATCCAATCAAAGTGTTTCTCATGCATGGTTGGTCTTACATACCATGCAAATCACATATATTCTCATCACAATGGCAAACAATAGGTTGTACTATTGTAAAGTACCCAACTCACCAGTTGGTTTACCCAACTCGTGTTCATGATTTTTCATGGTTCATTCCCATACTGTGGGTGGTTGCGAAATCCTGCACCACAAAACGGATGGTTGAAAGCCTAAAAAGAATCGGATGTTTACCACCTGGTGCAGGATTTCGCAACCACAGTATAAGGATTCATCTCTTTTATAGGCTTTTCATGGGGTTTCATAAACCTGAATACTGGGATACTGGTTGATATTTGATCTTCATGAACCACAACATTTCCATCTATTTCCGATATGTATGGATATTTGATGATATTTGATCATCATGAACCACTATATTCACTATATATTTTCCCAATTTCCAATGGGCGTCTTCTTGAAATCATCCATTTTCCCACTGGGATTTCAATCGATCCCCACCGGGATGTGCCTCTCGCGATATCGCAAGGCACGTTCGAAACGCTCGGCAAAGAAACGGGCGTCGACACGGACCTGAGGGGCTCCGAACACAAATCCCAGATGCGAAGCAGTAGCCATGTATTGCTGGTTTTTTAAATGGGAATATCATGGAGATTGGTAATTGTTGGTGATTATTAAGCCCTCAATAAACTGGGCTATTTCAAAAGGGGATGGTTTCCTTGAAATAAACCATGATTCCCAGGGCTCGGGAGAACAGGGTTCGGTCGGTATAATTGACCCAGATCTATGGTATATTTACCTACAAAACTGGGCCAATCCAATTGGGGAGTAGAACCCAATGGCCAGTTGATCTGGAAGAATTCTGAGGTGAACCCATTAAACATGTTTAAACAAGGTTTTCAGCATGAAACATCTTAGACTAATCCTTGAAGTTTGAAGTTGAAATTGCTTTGATATCTGAATGCAACAAGGCTTAATTAATCCGAATTCAAGCTCAAAACTCAGCAGACATAGGAATTGAAGGGGAATTGATGCGACTAAATGGAGGCTGCAATGAACTTCTTACGGTGGGATTCTTTCTTGGCAATCCTCCTGTGACATCTTCGTCGGATAGCTGTTCTGGTGCGGGTTGTGGAACCATTGAGACTATCTGGTTGGTGGTTGACCTACCCCTTCTGAAAAATATGAGTTCGTCAATGGGAAGGATTATCCCATATATTATGGAAAATAAAATTCATGTTTGAAACCACCAACCAGCTATGAATGCCGTCCTTGTTTCATATCCATTGGGTCAAGTTTTTCTTCAGCCGCTTCCTATTGATGACGTTCTTCAACATATTGCATCTCTTGGCACAAGCCACTTTTGTGGTCTTTGGATGAAACGTATTCACTAGGCACGGCAGAATGTGGCCATCAACGCAAAAAAAAAACGATGCATGAAACGGATTCAACGATGTCGCCATAAACCGTACCGCGGGGCAAGATCAATGCAAAAGTTGACAGCAGCCATTGGTCCAGCAAATGTCAGGTTCCAGGTTCAAAAACCACCCAGCAACCTGCCAAAGTTAGAGCATGACACATGGAACTGTGGCCATAAACCAAAGCAAGGAGAAGTGTGATCATTCCGTTTTGCCACTGCAAATGTGTACTTAAACTTGGTGGCTTGCTGCTCCCCTGCCCACATTGACAACGTTTAGCGGGAGCATCTAATTCCAAGTTTAAGTACACATTTGATGGATAGTAAAATCCCTTCATAGCAACCCCCAAAGAGATAGAACAGTTTCATTTATCACATGTTATTTGTCCATCTTATTGCCTATCTTATTGTCAATCTTAATTTATCACAACTATATATATATATGTTACTTGGTAAATATTTGTAATGTGGGTAAAACAATGCCATGTTTACCATCCCCCAGTCATCATCATTTTTGATAGGTGGTATGGTTACCACTCCCAGTCATGGTTGGTTTATGGCATTGTTTTACCCACATTCACATTACATCCGTTTTTTATCAATGATTATCAATGGCCTTTGCCGTCCCCGAACTTTCGAACTCGAGGGGCGAAGGCTTGACGACTCAGCATGCGGACGGGCAAGGGGCCACTCCTGCGAAGCTATGAGATGTCAGCCATTCTTCGCCAGTTTTACGACGTTTTACTGGGGTGCAGTCAGGGTTATTAACTATACGTAGCTATAGATACTATAAACCATAGTTGTTGGAGTTATAAACAAACTTAGCCATCTAGGGGGCCCCACTTTGAAAGATATTGCAAGTGATTAATATGTGATGTCTCCCAACTTTAAGGCTATAATCCATCGTTGATTCATTGTAAAGGCATATATGTGGCTGCCGTGAACGATTTGTACCACAAAGACATCGCTATAAGCAATTGTTTGACCCCATTGCAGGTTAATGAACCATTACAGGAATCTCCCGAAAAACGCCATTGATGGGTTATGAACACACACACACACCCAAACAAGCATATACTATATATAGATGCACATATATAACAGGGTAGTATATTATTCAATTTGCAATTGGCTTGTATGAAACTTTTGAACCACATGGGCTGCACCCAAAATACCGATAGAGAGAGAGAGATTATTGCACGTTTTTTCTCACCTGGTTTAATGGGGATTGTGAACAAACCCAGTCTGGGCACCCCCATAAGCCAGCCTGCTTTTGTCGGACTATACCCATAATAAAAGGGCATTGCACACCTGCTTAGGGGATGCATTTCCAGTTCTCAGTCGATCTATTTCACCAGAATTAGGCCCCCGTATCCCAACTTATGGAGGATTAATACATATTAAAACAAGAAACAATAGCAAAAAATAACACTGACTTTTGTTTATAACTCCAACAACTATGGTTTATGGCATCTATCTATTGTTTACCAATTTAAAAAACTAGGGGCCACATTGTATCATGTCAAAAAGTCCACAAATACTAAATACGATGAAACCCCTAGAATATTTTATAAATATAAATAAATATAGAAATAAATATAAATAAATATGTATATATATATATAAATATAAATATATATATATATATATTTGATGGTTCAACCATGTTCAACCCACCTGTTTAAACGCGGTCATCAAAAAAACTGCCCAGCGCCCGGAAGCTGCGCTTCCGAAAAAAAACAGCCCTGGCCTGTTGCACAACGCCACGCCCAAAGCTTCGCCGTCCGCAGCCTGAAAACCATGTCTTCTGGTTTTTTTTCTCTGACCATGGGATGTTTCAGCATGTTTCAGCCAAGTTATATGGGGATGATATTGAGATGACCATGGAATATTGACCAATTTCATGTCCTTTTGGTAAAAATAGGTTTGGGCCGGGAGCTGGTAATGTTTGGTATACCATCTATGATCTTAGAAACCTGTTGTTAAAGGGGTAGTTTCAAACCCCTCGTTTTTAATCAACCAACCAATGGGAATGTGGGACATCTATGAGATTGAAGGGAAAATCTAGGGAAACCATGGCTCTTTTACCCTGATATATGGGCCAAGTAGGCTTAGTTCACTTGCAATTGGGGTGAACTAAGCCAGCTACGATTCCTGGGATGAACCACCAAGTCTTTTTTTTGCACAAAATATGTGGTGCCAGGTTGCCATCGGAAGTTGAAACTCTGAGTTTTCAGGGGCTCTCGTCGCAGGACGGAACATGTAAGGCAAGCCCCCCGGCGGTCCCACGACTTACAGTACAATGTGAGGCCCCCAAGATAGCTAAGTTGGTGAACATAACTCCAATAACTATGGTTTATGGTATTTATAACTATAGCTACTGGGGCGAATCTAAACCAACTTACAACGTTTGGGGGCCACACATTGTAACAGTTGAGGTGGAAGGACTGAACTTGATCACCAGCGTCCAACTTTACAAATCTTCACCTCTACGCAGCGTGATCAGCCACTTGCACAAGTAATGTTCACTCACATTTGATTGTCTCAAATACGGCTACTGGTTGGTGGTATACCTACCCCTCTGAAAAATATGAGTTCGTCAGTTGGGATTATGAAATTCCCAACTGAATGGAAAGTCATAAAATTCATGTTCCAAACCACCAACCAGGCTAATACACCCAGATGCGAACCATGGTGCCGGAATAAGAATCCCAACATTTGATGCCACAAAATCACCCAGTGTAGTTAAATATATCAGCACCATGCTTCGCATCGTAAGTCGACTGCATACATTCCGCAAGGACTACCATGGACTCCCCACTTGTTTCGTGCATTGCGGCAAGCCTGGGTAAGCTTGCCCCCGTTCGGCTTAGTGGGTTATCCCATCTATGGGTAATAACGTTATTACATGGATAACAATGAATCTATACAATGTGAGGCCCCCAAGATAGCTAAGTTGGTTTATACACCCCATTAACTATATTTATAAGAAGTACCATAAACCATAGTTATTGGAGTTATGTTCACCAACTTAGCTATCTAGGGGGCACCACCTTGTATAGTAGTAAAGTCTTATGTAGTATCCAAGATAGAGTCAATATGACTGGTGAGCACGCCTGGTGAATAAGTCCCCATGTTGGTTGGCTTATCCCATCTATGAATCAATATGACTAATTAGTAATAACTATCAAGCAACCTACGATCATCCCATACTTAGATTTACAACTATATCAACTATATATATATAATTACAACTTAGTCTCATATAGCTATAGTCTCCCTACTGGTAATTAGTATCCCATCTATCTGGGTAAATTATGATATTTCACTAACCTGAATCTTGCGGCCCATAAAAGGGGATGATTCCCCTACAATTCCCATGGTTCCAGGGTTCGGGAGAACAGGGTTCGGTCGTGATGAAAATTAAATTTACCCAGATCTATGGTTACTAACCAGTTACGATCCCTGGAGGGATCATCTAGCCCTACACCCCAGTGCGCACTGGACCGGGACCTCTACGTTGACCAAACAGGGGGAGCGATTCACCAGTTCCTGCGCGGCTCAAGTGATCCAGCACCAGCTGCCACAAAGGTACCCTGGGACCCAATAGGAAAATCTTGGAATTTTTATGATGAACCAATAGATTGATAAGATGATAAAGGGGTACCATCGTTTTTCAGATGATAAACCCAAAATAAGTAGAAATTGTGGCTTTGCTTAAGGAACCCATCAAAACATGTTTAAAACCATTAAAAAAATAAACATATTCCCAACAAAGATTCCTCAAGCTGTGGATTTTCCAGTGGGAAAAATGCCGATCCCAATGCAGGAGATGAGGCCACTCAAAAACCTGGCCCATCTGTGGCTATTCTGGTCAGATACTCACAATGTGGGGCCCCCAAACATTATGTAAGTTGCTTTATATCTCCAATAACTATGGTTTTAATGTACTTATAACTATAGTTAATGGGCATTGTAAATCAATTTACATGCCATGTATACCCAATTTACGATCTTCTGATGCTATTGGAAATTCACCACAACATGTTGGGTGGTTTTTCCCAGAAAAAAACGCAAACCGTGGATACCCAAGGTTTCTAGGTGGTTTGCTGGCCGGCTAAGAGGAAAAAGAACAACTTGTTTTTAGCGGGAGTGCCCTCCCTCCGGTGTCATCAAACGTGGCGTGCTGGAAAATAACAAAACTAAATGGAGGTTCATAGCTGGGAACGTCATCTATATATAAATGCAGGATTTTCGATTGTCGTGTTTGATTACCGGAGGGTACCCGCAGAATGTCATGTTTACCAACCTATACTGCAATCATAAATCCGCACACAACTGAAAACCTATGAAAACCTAGATCTGTATGGCAACTCAATCCATCCAGCACCATTCCAGCGCCCTCAACAAACTCAAGCTCTTGAACGTAGCCAATCTTAGATACCCTGCAGAAAAATACAATGTGTTTTCTCAGGGTTTTGGCTATTTTATGTGTACTATTTAGAAGTGCAGTTCCAGTTTTTTTCAGATATGCAACCATAGTTATAGAGCTAATAACCCGAGCTGAGACGGGTTTTTCTGTCTCAATCCAGCAACTCCTGAGCGAAACTTTGGGGCGAACGTGTAGCGAGCCCATCGGCCCATCTAGACAACGCACTTCCTCAAGGTCAATCCACTCTTGGAAGGTGGGCATTTTCTATTGCCAGTCTTAGATACCCTGCAAAAAAATGATTTCGCTAGCTGGTGAATGTAGATATTCCTATGAAATCGCAAAAGATTAAAGGAATAAACTACCCATCCAGTTGGTTAACCATTAATAGTCATTAACAGTCACTAACCATCAACCATGATTAAACATGCAAAATTATTAATATATAACCATTATCAACCAGTAGCCACTAGCCATTATTATACTGGTAATTTAACATAGCTATTGAAAATGACCATAGAAATAGTGGATTTTCCCATTAAAAATGGTGAATTTCCATAGTTATGTTAGTTTACCAGAGGGTACTATTCATTTTCTTGCCAGATTGTCAATTTGCACGTTCCTGCATGGAAAAATATCCAGAAAACTCACCTTAACTGCATCCCCACGTTGTCCCGAAAGGTGCACTGTAGCCGCTAAAACTTTCCCCAGCAAATCCAAGTTGATGAAGTCCTCCCAGGTAGAAACCTCCATTTACAGCGGATGTTCCTATATTTTCCATGATTTTCCCATAGTTTTCCTAAAAAAACATTCCATTTATAGTGGATGTTGTGATTTTCCCATGGATTTACCATGGGTTTTCCCATTCAAAGCTCCGTTTTTCATGGGGAGTCGCTGGAATTCCCATCAAAACCTCCATGTTTTCCCACGTTTTCCAAGGTGCCTCAGCATTGATGATGGCATTGGTCAAGACCCAGGGGTGGCCGCGCAAGACCTTGGCCTGGCGAAACTCGCTCGCGCATCGCAGAAGGGGATGCTTCTCATGCAAAAAGAGGAAAATCCTGGGAAAGTGACAGGAACATCTTCTATAAATGGAGTTTTTTTTTTAAATTGGAAAATCATAGTAAATGGTGGGTGAATTCCATTTTTCAATGTTGCTCACCAGATACCAGTCAGACTTGGGAACTTACGATTTGAATCTTGGATTGAGAGGGTTCCCGATGACATCGAAGGCTTTAGAGGGCTGGTCAGGTGAAACATTGCTCCCGGTGCTCTCCCAAACTCAGCACATAAAAGAGACGATGGTGTTGGTGGCCTGGTTTCATAAAAACCCTGGTGTATCAACTCCAGTTACCAGGGCAAAGTTGCCAGGACTTTTATGGCTGCCGCCAGTGGCCATTGAAAATCGTTTCTCTTTTGTGGTTTGCTGTCTTAATTTTCTATCTACCAAAAAGAGCCTCCGAACCTGTGGTCCGACGGAGATTCATGGTTCGTAAATTGGGGGCGATAGTCCCATGCAACTTCCCACTACGCATCAGCCTTTGAAGGAGTTGGTTCATCTTCAGTTTTCCCCCATTCTTGGTTTTTTCAAGTCACCAACATAACTCATCAACTAATCAGTTGGTTTTCCCCAAATAAAAAAAAAAAAACATGCTAAATCAACAAAAAAAACGTGACATCGCCTGGAATTTTGGACGATCCTGTGATTGGATTTTTCTGTCCAGGTGTCCCTGGCAGTCCCTGGAATTCGGAATGTGCCGAGATGAAAAAAAAACTTCGGATTGTTTGCGTCGGCGAGTGAATGGTTCCTACATTCCAAAAGGCCAGGGTAAAGTGCAATGATGTGCAATGTAAACTAAGGTAGCGAACTGGAAAATCACCATGTTTATCATCTTTCATGGCTAAATCCACTATTTCCATGGCTACATTTTTCCAGTTCGCAAACTGTTCCAGAAATTAGGGATGCATCCCACCAGGTCTTATCATATCGTTCCGTCGTTCCGTCATCGTAAGTTCAGAAATGGAAAAGCATGTATGAAAAGAATACTATACACCATTACAAAAATATGAATATCATAATATCTATCCTTGATAATTCTTGCTTTCTAGATCTTTCTAGTGGATTTTCTGATTTTCCCATGGCTTTCCGAAATTCCCATGGTTTCCAGTTGGTTAACCATTAATTATTAACCACTATTAATGACTTTAACCATAATTAACCATCATTAAGCATCCAGTCCAGTTGGTTAACCTAGTATAAGCTACAGGATGGGCCCCCCATGTATAGATGGTTCATAGATGATCATAGATGGTTATATAGTGTATCACCAATGTATAACCTATACTAGTACTGGTTGGTGGTTTCAACCCCTCTGAAAAATATGAAAGTCAATGGGAAGGAATATCCGATATATTATTGAAAAATAAACATGTTTGAAACCACCAACCAGATTTAGTCTCATATAACTATAGTCCCCCTACTGGCAATTAGTATCCCATCTATGGTTACTACCCTCTGGTAATTTAACATAACTATTGAAAATCACCATTTTAATGGGTAAATCAACTATAGAAGGGCCATTTTCAATAATTAGCTATGTTAGTTTACCAGAGGGTAACCTATAGTTATTGTATGTCATTGTCCCATGATCTTCCACACTTTCAGGGCTCCCTCCGCCGGCCAGGCCTCCGCCCCCTGCCGCAAGCGCAAGCGCGGCCGCTTGTGTGGATCGTCTCCACGCGGTCTCGGCGGCGGGATGTTGTCACAGGGGGGCGACTGCCCGGTCTGCCCCCTAAAAATCTCGGAAAAACCATGGGGAAATGATGGGAAAATGTGGGTTGATCATGGTTTATCCATGTTTATTACCATGTATATCCCAGAAAAATGTGAGTTGATCATGGTTGATCCGGTCGTATTTTTTGAATTTTTTTGAACATGGTGCAGGAGGGATCGCCCCCAGGAATCGCTTCATATCGCTAACCTTGGGACCTTGGGTCCCCATTTCGTGGGGACCAAGCTATCTAAATGGGTGAACTAATGATGACAACCTCAAGTGGGATGATCCTTTGTACCCTCTGGTCACTTTGCCAACTGGAAAATCACCATTTTTTACGAAATCAACGAACTACATAACTACATGTGCCATTTTCAATAGCAAACTGTAAAAAAAATACCAGAGGGTATCAATATTGTTGGTGATATATTCTATTCCATGATATTCCCATGATATATTCCCATTATATTACCATACTTATACCCATTATTGTTAACATGAGCCGATGACCTCCAAGATGTCCAAGGAGTGTCTGGGTCCTTCTTCTTTCGGACGGATGTTACGTTTTGTGCAGGTGACACGACCTATGACGTTTTGTACACCATTTTTCCAGACACGTTTGTTGGTTAACCCCACTTAGGCATAGATACATCATGATACATCTATCATAAACCCAAGTTATTGGAGCTAACTATGGTGCACCACGTTGCATCCTCCAAAAAAATCAACAAGATAATATGTAGGCAGCACGAAGCCTTTCGCCTATAGAAGGCTACCATACACACAGCTTAGATTTTGAATGCCCAAATGGAACTTAACCAACAGAAATTTAGGATCTATGTGACTTAGGACTTATGATAGGCATGCTACAGTATGTTGGTTTATAACTATATCGGCGTTCCATTGGATAACCAACTTATAGCTGAGGTTTCGGATTGTCAAAATCTAAAAAAATCCGGGCTCAACACCCCAAACCTGCTCAAACTCGAATTTTGGCACAGGTCTCCAGATTTTAAACAACAATTCCCACCATCACAACCCGCACCTGTAGCCCGTGCTGGGCGTCCATAGCGAGCGGGCAACTTTGGCCCATGGAGAAACGGCCCGCCGCAGCATGGCATCCTACTCACCCAGTTGCGAGTACTGCAGTGCAGGTGTTATGTGATATTAATCATGGCCATATGATCCATATGCAATTATAAAGCATGTAAGGCAGTTTGTCTAGTCTATCATAATCTTATTATATAGCCGCTATAGCCATGACTGGACTATCACCAGTGTTTATAAAGCAGATTGGATTCATTTGGATTATAAGTGGCTGCAAACTGGTTATGAGACAATTCTGGGACCCGCGCGAGCCTCGAAAATTGGATCATCATGCGGATTTTCTCTGATCAATTGACTCTCCAGGGAAATGTACCAAAAAAAATAAACCATCTTGGTGTGTTTTTTTTGGCCACCAATTCCTGAAGTAACCCCAAACATGTCCTCAATGTGGGGCCCCCTAGTTATAAGTTGGTTTATAAGCCCCAGTAACTATAGTTATATCACCTATAAACCATAGTTATTGGACTTATAAACCAACTTAGCTATCTTGGGGGCCTCACATTGCTGGAATATAAATCATGGCAGTAACTCGGGTTCCCACCTTGGAAGGGATAAACTGGTGAAATCTCCCCAACAATGACCGACCTCTTTAGAGGCTCGGGTCGGAGCCGTATGTTCGACAGCGGCATGGAAATGGTTCCATGACCTATATCCTCGCGTAGGAACTAACGTAGCCCTGGATTTTTTTGCAATTTTTACACTTTTAGAAACTGTAAATCATCATGTTGATCATCAATAGATGATATAAATGGGCCATGTCCATGTCGCAAACAACGTTGATTCCAAAGCACAGTTTGCCCAAAAGCACTTGATCCTTTAGCCTGAGGTTGAAATATCTTCACGATTGCTTTGAATAACAATTCCAACAATAAAGTCAAAACATAGTCAATGGAAAAGCAGTATGTGAAACAAGTGATAAATGACTAAACATGGGTTTCACATATGGTTTCACATAGATTTTGATCACATATACAGTCTTTGGCTGCAAAAAATGATTAAACCACACAAGTCACAAAAAAACACATGATGCCATAGGATAAACATAGGATCAAAAAGATGCAACAAGTAAAATCCAATCCTGAGATAATGTTTTTTTTGTTTTGTTTTTACTTGTTACCCTTGTTTATACTAGGAGATGGATTGATAATACATGAATCTGCCAATCAAACATGTTATATTTTTTGGCAGATTCATAATATCTGCGGAAATGAATTTCCAAATATCTGGATAGGACAAGATTTACTTTCTGAAAATCTCGTTGAATATGCCAGCACCAAGGAGTCGGCAGGATTGATGTCATAATACCGGCTCACATGCTTAATAGACAATACCAGTCCATTGTGTGGCTGTCAACAACCTCAGATTTGATGCCAGCATTTAGTACCTGAAACGGTGGTTGTCTGATATCCCATAGTTTGCCAAGTTGGTTATACTAGGTTTTATGGATGTTGCAGTCTTTTTTTTTGATTTTGCCAGCTTCCGGAAGGGGACACACCACCTTGTATGAAATCAGAACTAAAAAGATGCACTGCTTAGAGGATCATCCTACCTACCCTCTGGTAATTTGTTACACTTTGCGAACTTGAACATGGCCCAATAAAAATAGTGGATTTACCCATTTGTAAAATGGTGGATCTTTCCATCGTTTTTTCTATGTTTACCAGAGGGTAACCATGGTTGAAAATCCTGATAACCCTGATGAATGAGCCTCCGGGATATCCCATTCAGATCAACATTTGGGAGTACGCCAGCCATTCAGCGCAAACACTTGGCTGGTTGGTGGTGCAATAACCATCTTGAAAAATATGAGTTCGTCAATGGGAAGGATGACATCCCATACCCATAGGATCAATGTATGCTATATATGGTAACATTTACCATCAATATACCCCAAATGTTAGCATATATACCATACATGGATCCTATGGGATATACTATGGAAAATAAACATATTTGAAACCACCAGCCAGATGGCATTGTATCACGTGTTTGAATTTCATCGGATCGCTGCATATTCAATGAACTGGTCAAATCCCATGTTTCCCTTTAAAAAAAACAAGCTCCCACCATGCTTGAGGTGCAGTTCCACAAATAAGTGGGTTATATAGTTACATAGCCATAGTTGTAGGGCTTATAATATCCCAACTTGTGAAGGATACTACCATAGTTCTAGTTCTACCACATGCATAATACCCATGAGAATCACCCTAACCATGCTTAATCCAAATGATCATTCCATCAACATAGTTAATTCCTATGAAACCATCGTGTTTGACACTGAAATTCCAGTCAAATCCCATCAATCACCCCCACCCCCAAAAGAAACTAAATTTCACGAAAATCCAAGTTTTTATCCCAGTTTAATTTCGTTGAATCAGAAATCCCATGGAAAAACCACTAAAACTCTCATAAATCATTGTTCTACAGTTCTACTGTACTCCCAAACCGATAAATCCCATGAAAACAAAAAAACTCAGAAATCACATGTTAAATCATATGGCTATGAGTCAAAATTGTGTATGGAACGTTCCGCGCTGTTCCGGACGTATGGAACGAAGGGGTTTCGTAACTGGTCTTGTTCCGGACGTTTGGAATGTGATGAAGTATAAGCTGTACATAAAAATAAATATGTATACTGTATACTGTATATATGTATAACATACTGTATATAATATACATCTCGAGGATATGCACGTTGAAGCTACTACCACTGGCAGCCGCTCATTTTCACTTCTCATCGGCGCGGCATCCTTGTTGTACACCTGTTCAACGCAGGTTTGCCTTGCATGGCTAGTGCTCCTGCACTAGCTAGGACTACGTGAAGCTGTCCACTCAGCTTGAGACCTGTCACGCAGGTCCCACCTCCTACTCTTAAAACTCAGAGGTCCCGGTCCCTATGGGGTAGATAGTGTCCCCGCGTAGCAAGACTCTAGGCTCCCAAAACCCACGCGCAAAGGATGGCTTAGGAGCAGTCTATGTGAGAACCTGCCATTTGTTCACCCGGAAGTGGGTCAGGGATGGTACATGGGTGGTCCGGGTCTGGAACGGGCATGGAACGGGTATGGAACGGTATGGAACGGGGTCTGGAACGAAGCGGCCCACTCCAGCACAGCTCTGCCACCGCGCAGCACATCTTTATCAAAATTGGCATTTTGGAGCGAGAGTAGCGCAGCAAGCAATTCTTAGACTGCCAGCTGGCAACAGCCAAGCGCATCTCTACCATCAAACATCACAGCTGTGCCACAGCGGGCAGCAACTGTAAGTGGTGCAGGTGCAAACCTGCCACAGGTTGAGAGGGAGGCCCGGTTACAAGCAATCCATTCTTAGACTGCCAGCCGACAACAGCAAAGCACATCCCTACCATCACACAACAAACGCTGCAGGCACAGACTTGCCAACACAATCACAGGGCTTGGGCATAGTAAACGTATTCTTGCATGTACACACTCATCCATGTATGTGCGCTCAAGTATGCGCGTACAAATGTAAAATCAGACTGCACATATTCTTCATATATATATATATACATATATATCATAACGTATAGATCAGAGGTATGGAACAGAGGTATGGAACGGATCCTTCAAGGAGGTATGGAACGGGGGTATGGAACGGGGGTATAGAACGGGTGTGGTCCCGGAGCTTGTTCCGGACCTCCTATTTTGACTTGCACCCATATGGACGTTTCCTGAAATGGGGGTACCCCTAAATCATCCATGTGTTTTTTTATTATAAACCATCCATGTTGGGGTGTCCCCATTTATGGATATCCCCTGATATCCCCATATAATAAATAGAGTTTCCTCATGTTCATGGTGAAATACCACTCAAATCTCATGAAATCCCACTCAAATCTCATAATTCCTACAATGTGAGGCCCCAAGATAGCTAAGTTGGTTTATAAGCCCCAGTAACTATAGTTATAAATACCATAAACCATAGTTATTGGACTTATAAACCAACTGAACGCTATCTTGGGGGCCTCACATTGTAGGGGTTCTACCGTGTTCTACCCACCTTTTTCTGGCACCACAACGGTCCCCAACGCCTGGTTGCGGCAGCTTGGCTGCCGCCGCCACACCCGAAGCCAACAACGTGGCACCCCGCAGCTCGCCACAGCGCTCGCGGAGCTCCTGTGGGCTATGACTCAAAAAATCTAATAATCTAATATGATTCAAATGGGATTTTTCTTCTAATAATCTAATAATCTATAGCCATGATGATGGCCAGAATATCTGACTGACTTAGCATAGCCATGACCCAGGCGCGAACGATGGTGCTTGTATATTTAACTACAAAACTGGGTGATTTTTAGGGAAATGTTCCAAACGCCTGAGACTCTGGGCTCTGGGCACACCTTTTCAGAGGGCAAATCAAGGGAACATCCACTGTAAAAAAAAATCTGGGGAACACTAGAAAGCTCCGGAAAAAGGATTGAGAACATGTGTGTGGAAAACCCGAAACACGGATAAAAATGATGTAATGCAAAAAAACAACTACAAAGTTAAAGCATGTTAAAGCAGGATAGATTTTGTGCCGCCTCAACGAAAGTGTTGAACCATGGAAATCTCCTCCGCCACCGGACCCAGCTGCGTTCGTTGTTGGGTGTGCACCAGGCCTTGGTGAAAGGCGAAGAGGTAGACATTTGGAGGGTGAAAAGGGCTTGGTTGAAGAGAAGATTTCCCTTCCCCTCTGGTGGAAAATCCTCTACAAATGGAGGTTTGGAGGGGAAAATCCGCAAACTCCAATTGCTATGTTTGATTCTCTGAGGGTATCCATTTCAAAACTCTTGGCACAAATCTTCCCTTCAACCATGGGTAATCTATTGAGGATGGTTGAACGCGATATTCTCAGATTTGTAGGAAACGCAGCTGGAAAGCTTTCTATCAGCTGCCATTTCAGGTACCTAAACTGGAGGTACTGTACCATATAAAGCCATATTTTGAGGGCATATCATATCCCCTTACATGGATTTACATTTTACATTATGTATATAATTATAGCATTATATAGCAGCTACCTCCAGAATCTAGGCACCTGAAATGGCCCCAGTTCATTTAGGTGGTTAAGTCCAAAAACACTTGGGTTTAAGGATATCTAAGGTAGATCTAACCTCCAAATGTCATTGGTAGGTGTTGTAAACAAACATCCAAGGGGGTCATCGCATTGTAGCCTTGATTCGAAGCTATGTTTACAGGATTGTCGTAGATTCATACCTGGCTTCCAAACCATGGTTGTAAAATGAGGTCGCGAATTATCGTAGATATCCCCGCAAAAACACACGCAAAAACATAATAAAACACGATAAACACACCTAACCGCATGGAAGCAAATTGATCTGGGTAGATGATGAGAATGCACTGATCTGAAAGAATGCCATTTGTGGATAGCTACCCGTTACCCATACTAACTTTCATTGCCTGGACGTCATGACGTGGGGTCATTTTCCATTGATCTATTGCAGTTGGATCTCATGTTCTTCCCATCATATTCCCAATATATCCCCACTACCCTCTGGTTATGTCAAAATAGCTATTGAAAATGGTGATTTATAGTGGATTTACCCATTGAAAATGGTGATTTTCCATAGTTATGTTTATTTACCAGAAGGTAAACCCACCATAAATATGTATATAGTAAATCCCATTAGCCCCTCATGAAATCGTAGCTTGGCAGCCCTCCACCAGAACTAGGCCAAGGAGCTCGACAAAAGCATGACCAAGTCCTTCGCCTTAGGCGTTGCGGTCGAAACATCCGTGCCGGAAGCAAACCAATGGATGTCATGGCTACAATCCATGGGCCCCCGGCCTTACGAAATCCGCTAAGTTATTGTGATTTTACCAAAATAAAAATGCAAATGTTCATGAGATTTAGATGGGATTTCATGAGATTTCATGGGATTTTAGGGGCTTTAGATATAGCTAAGTTCAGATGGGTCCAGCAATTGGCCCATAGTTTTTCATAGTTGTTCATAGTGGGCTTGAATGGTAAAATCAGATGGGTTTCAGAACGGTTAACTTGTTTCGGGGTGAGCTTGAAGGCAAAACAATGACACAATGGAGGAATAGTGGGGCTTGAATGGTCCAATGGAAAAAGTTAATGGTGAAATGGTATCCAATTAAATGTTACATTCAATCATTATATATATATATAGTAAATTCATGTATCCAATTAAATGTTACACAGTGAAAAAAACATAGTTCTTGAGCATCCAATTAAACTCTATATGTCATTTTGCCTCTGGTAAACTAACATTAGCTATTGAAAATAGCCGATTGGAATAGTGGATTTACCCACTAATAGCATGGTGATTTTCCATTGTTTTTGTATGTTTACCAGAGGGTTACACAGTTTTTTCCCAGAAAATAGGATGCTCTGAAATCGAAGATTCAGCACAGCAGTCACGGGCACAAACCGTGAAGAACACCCAGCCTGTTTCGGCTCGTCCTGAAGAATTGGAGATTCAGATGTTCATATGGTAAACTTTAAGAATTCTGATTTCACATACCGATCTTTGAAACTACCAAAACAAACACGAATCGTAGTGATTTCCATAGATATGGCGATTGGCTAAGCCTGGTTTGAGTTAAAGTCTCCATTGGATTATCCCAGATCTATGGATGTAAATGGCTTATTATTCCAGTTACTAAGTGCTGGTTGGTGGTTGGTATACCTACCCATCTGAAAAATATGAGTGAGCTCGTCAGTTGGGATGATTTTCCATTCCCAACTGTTTCTGGAAAGTCATAACCCATTCCATGGTTCCAGTCAGCACCAACCAGATATGTTGAATCACTAGAAGGTAACCCCAACATTTCAAAAACATGACACTTGCGCTGCTTCACCCAACGGTGCCGTGTCAAGGCACATCGAAGTATGGCAACCTGGTGATGGCTTGTTTCAGTAGCAGCGCTGACAACGTCTCGTCCTCGAAACGCCTGGGAACGAAACTTGCCAAAGGAGCGACCTGTGCTGTCTGATGGTTGGAGTTGGGATTATCAGGGATCAATCCCAACTATTACTCCAACCATCTTGGGATATGTTGGGATTATGAGGGGTTAATTATATTTATATATATATATATACGTACATATACCCATAGGATCCATGTATGCTATATATAAATATATGGTAACATTTACCATCAATATACCCCAAATGTTAGTAATATATACAATACATGGATCCTATGGGATATATTGTTGATATTTGTTGATACCCTAACACGCAAAAGGAACTGGATCATCACGGTCGTGGTGCTGATGACTACTCCCATCCTCCGATCCCCCCAAAAAAAAACACACAAAATCTAAGGTCCAAAAATCTGGTTTCATCCCTGACTAAACCATGGTTTCATGGGGAACCGGAGAAGGGGTTGTTATGAATGGTTGATGAGTATTGCTAAACATGTTTTTGTTGAATCAATAAGTCTCGATACTATAGTTTTCGGCAATTATTGGCATCGCATCTGGTAAGTCATAGTTTTTGGTTTTTTTTTGTGGGATGTGTGATGTCATGGACTTAAAATTCCTTCATTCTAGCCTAGCTAATAGACTACTTGGTGGTTTGTTGGTCCCAGTCCAAGTAGTTTTTATTTTATTTTTTGGTGGACGTTTATTCATCTAATCCAAGAACACAAACAGAATCCAAGTGACTTTGGCGATTTCATCCGAATTAAGCCATGCACCAATCATTCATCAACGTTTACCTTGATATACCCACGTGTGCCAAATAATGTAAAGATTAAAATCCACGACCAGCTGGTTTATCCAGTTTATCCCTATTCTTCAAAGTCAATTTCCCATATACGTCAAACATAGCAATGGAACATGCCCTATGTTTAGATCATATATATATATATATGTATATGTATCCTATATATATATATCTATATCTATATGGGCTATAAAAACACCACTTATAGAGGATCTTCAATTGCCACCTTTGATAACACCGGAGGATAGTGTGTTGCTTAAATCCCTGCCTGATCCCTGGCCCTTCAGAGGGTGACCCAGATCGCTTAAATCATGTGAGATCCCAAGAATTTCTTCGCGAAAAGCCGGAGTTTATACCAGTTTTATACCAGTGCTGATGGGTAATTTTTACAAAAACCATCAACCCGATCAACCGGTTAAATCCTTTGATACCCTCTGGGAATTTAACAGTTTGCGAACTGGAAAATCACCATCTTTAAGTTCGGTAAATCAACTATTTCTATGGGCCATGTTCCATAGCTATGTAACAAATTACCAGAGGGTAATACTTTTATACCATTCTTGCTGGTCAATTCCAAGGATTCGATCTGGCAAGCATCTGCTTGCTAAAGGCTCGCAAGACCTCGGCTCGAGGGACTGCACAGTCCGGGCCGACATGACACTGCAAAATGTACGGCTTCCATAGGCATCATAAGGGAAAACATTGGGATATATATGTATATATATATAGCCAAAAAATGCCAAAAGCAAGGGAAAACGTATGGATATATTATATTGAAACCCCCAGTCATAGATAGAAGAGTAGGACACCTGTAAGTTATGGGGGGCAACATCATCAAAATTCATCAAACTACAAGGTGAAACCCCCAACAAACGATAGCTAAGTTGACTTCTGACTTTCTTACCCATGGTATATGCACTTATGGTTTACAGAGGGGATGACCATGGTATCCATGGTGTTTACAATGTGAGGCCCCCAAGATAGCGTTCAGTTACACAAGTTGTGAACATAAGTCCAATTTCACTATGGTCTATGGTATTTATGACTATAGTTACTGGGGCTTATAAACCAACTTATAACTAGGGGGCCCCACATTGTATAAATTACTAAACCAACTTCGAACTGCGCGACCTCATCTTGTCGCCTTGTAGGACAATCATAGGTAAATCCGTATGGAATCCCATAGCTTCTCATGAGGAGCCGTGAGACCCATCGCCATCCCCGATGTAAACCCCGAATTCCATGGCTTCGGTGTCCATTGTTCAAGGCCCATGGGGAGACATGTTGGTGTTCCTGACCTTGTTGACCTTGTGGGGTTAATCCGGAGTTGACACTACACTGCAACAATTTTGTTCCTATGCTTTTACCGCGCATTAAATGTCCCACGCATGCCATCAAATTTCAAAAAAAAAATGTCCATAAAATATCACACAATCACCAAAAATCTCCATAAACATATCATACAATCACCAAAAATATCTGAACAAATATCGTACGATCACCAAACATGTCCAGAAAATATCATAAAATCACCAAAAATCTCTATAACAATATCATACAATCACCAAAAATATCTGAACAAATATCATACAATCACCAAACATGTCCAGAAAATATCATAAAGTCACCAACAATCTCTATAAAAATATCATAAAAGCACCGTAAATGTTCAGAAAAGATCATAAAATCACCACCAAAAAAAAAACATAAAACGAGCCTTTCCCAAGGTTTTCCCCAGCAACTTCCAACCCGTTCCGCCACACCTTTGTCAAGCCCTCAGGCGTCAGCTCCAACAGCAGCTCGTGCGCGCGCGCGGCCAGCGCGGGCAACAGGGTACGAGGCCCCTGTGCGCCATCTGAAGCAGCGACTGTGGCATGTGTGAGTGGGGTATTTAACCAGCACTTACCCTCTGGTAAACTAACATAGCTATTGAAAATGGTGATTTATAGTGGATTTTCCCATTAAAAATTGTGATTTTCCATAGCTATCTTAAATTACCAGAGGGTATGGGGATTTAAAGATATTAAAAAATAATAGAACTTCATATGCATAAATAAAACAATGGAAATTATAATAGGTTTTAGGGGTTGTAGATGCAACAGTCTTTAATTCTACTGATGCTAAAATTGCTAAAATACAACACCCATATTTTGATGGTGCGTGCAACTCATTTATGATAATTTTGGGATGGTTCACTATTGCTTTACTAACATTATATGACGTAATTTGATATAATGGTTAATTTATAGATAGAAAGGTGTTGATATAATCATCTATGGATAGAAATTTAGTGGTGCTATAGAACCATCTATAGAACCATCGATCATTTACCTATGATTAGCAATATATCGCTTACATAAATAAAGTGCTTATATAAACCTTATATAACATAAGTGGATATCCCGTATAAGGATATATAAGGATTATAGCGGGTTCGTTGTAGATAGCAACCACAAGATTCTATTGATGATTTAACCATCCAAAAAGATAAGAGAGCATCTCGATGACTGATGGTTTCACAGAAACTACCATATACAGTAACTATCCCTTTCAAGTGATGGTTATGCTAACCATCTTATAGGTGGCCATAACTTGATCCAGTAACTAGCACTCTACCCGTCCTATCACTTGTAGGGATCATGGCAGCTGGTACATATCTCAAAAAGATCCCTATTTCACCATCATTGTTCCGGAAAATATAATTGAATTTCTGGGTTCACACTTTTGGGCATCTTTGACCGGGGGTAGTATAAAGTTATTGACTTTACAGTGGTTAGGAGGGATCCGTGGCTATGGGAAGCCAGGGAGCTGCGGATTCAGTTGCCCGACCGATAATTTACACCGGGTCCTTTTACCGTGGAAGTCAGGATGGAAAAACCTGTCGGTTTACATGGAAGTCGTTTACGTCCAATTCCTGGGGAAAAAGTGAAACTGGGCTACCGGGCCAGCAAGTGCAGAAAAACTGACCGTGAATCTCTTACATGGAAGTAGCTCATCAGATATGTCAGTAACATATTCATCATGGAAGTGTGAAAACTGAGACTAAAAACCCTTACGTGGAAGTAACTTGAGGGTCCAGACATCAGGTTGGCAACTTCTATGTTAACATGTTCTCCCCTCATGTTGAATACATCCTTCTAGGGCGATCCCTAAAACCCCCAGACTGACCGCCACATCATTTTTTTCTTCTTTGCATCTATCTTCTCACCCCTGTCATGTCCGAGCGATTGAGGATGCAACCTTTCGAAATCAATGGTGCCAAATTGGTGCTCGCTAACATGGCACTTCCCACATCCTACTTCAAGTAGCAAATTTCTATGTAAGTTATCCGTTCCAATCGTTGGTTGTTAAAAAATGGAGGCATTCCCAGCTTTATCTTGAAAAAATCAAAATTTCTACGTTAATCAACAAATGCCCAGGATTCCCGGGGAACTCGTGGCAAAAAGAACTAGCCAAAAAAAAAGAAAAGGGCTCAGATCCAAAGAACACAAATTTGCAGTTTACCCCCCCCCCATTGCAACTAACATGGAAGTAAACCTCCGAATTGTCACTTTAGTTAACGTGGAAGAAAAATATGTGTTTTTTTTTTGCACTACGGTAAAAGGAGGACCAAGCGCTCGCTAACATGGCACTGCCCACATCCGACTTCAAGAAGCAAATTTCTATGTAAGTTATCCGTTCCAATCGTTGGTTGTTAAAAAATGGAGGCATTCCCCATTGCAACTAGCATGGAAGTAAACCTCCGAATTGTCACTTTAGTTAACGTGAAAGAATTTTTTTTTGTGCACTACGGGAAAAGAAGGACCGAGCGCTCGCTAACATGGCACTGCCCACATCCGACTTCAAGTAGCAAATTTCTATGTAAGTTATCCGTTCCAATTGTTGGTTGTTAAAAAATGGAGGCATTCCCAGCTTTATCTTGAAAAAAACAAAATTTCTACGTTAATCAACAAATGCCCAGGATTCCCGGGGAACTCGTGGCAAAAAGAACTAGCCAAAAAAAAAAGGGCTCAGATCCAAAGAACACAAATTTGCAGTTTACCCCCTCCCATTGCAACTAACATGGAAGTAAACCTCCGAATTGTCACTTTAGTTAACGTGGAAGATTTTTTTTGCACTACGGTAAAAGGAGGACCAAGCGCTCGCTAACATGGCACTGCCCACATCCGACTTCAAGTAGCAAATTTCTATGTAAGTTATCCGTTCCAATCGTTGGTTGTTAAAAAATGGAGGCATTCCCAGCTTTATCTTGAAAAAAACAAAATTTCTACGTTAATCAACAAATGCCCAGGATTCCCAGGGAACTCGTGGCAAAAAGAACTAGCCAAAAAAACAAAAAGGGCTCAGATCCAAAGAACACAAATTTGCAGTTTACCCCCCCCCATTGCAACTAACATGGAAGTAAACCTCCGAATTGTCACTTTAGTTAACGTGGAAGAAAAATATGTGTTTTTTTTTGCGCTACGGTAAAAGGAGGGGGAGTATAGGGTGCAAACCCATCAGGGCACAATGCTGCTGGGATAAATTCGGTTGGGTAGTAGGTTAATTACCATTGAGCCACATTTACTAAAGATTTAATAACCATCATTCTGAGAAAAATACGGCACGCGGCATCTGCCCCAATGTCATCTCGCTGGCATTGGGAACTGCGCCATTGGCCATGACCTCCACCTCCTCCGTCTCGGACTCCGAAAGATCATAGATCACACTGTAGAGATCCTCCAAGTCCTGCACTCGTCGCGACAGGCCACGGATTGTGGCCTGCGCCAGGACGCCTTCCTTCACTTCCTGGAGTTTCTTGGAAGCAAAATCCAGGAAAAATCTGTGACTCTACGCCAAAAACTGGCTCTGTCGTACCTTGGCATCGCGGTCCGCAGGCGTTGTAAAAAACTTGCACCAAACGATCATACCCCCGATGAAGCTGCCACTCTTGAGGATCAGAGCGGCATCCCTTTTCTCGTCTTTCGCTGCTTCCAGGACATATGGTGTGGACCCTGCGGCGGCAAAATCCGCAGTGTCAGGGGTGATCTTGACCAATTGGTATCTGAAAAATTGTCTGGTTGGTGGTATACCTACCCCTCTGAAAAATGATGGACTTCGTTAGTTGGGATGATGACATTCCCAATGGAAAAATAAAAATCATGTTCCACCAACGAGTTGTTGGTTGAAACCCAATGTACCAAGTTGTCCCATTTCTTTCGGCCAAACTATGCCAACTCTCTCCACCGCCTTCTCACTACACGCATCTGTTTCAATCTGGGCACGCTCTCTCCCATGAAAATGACAAAACACAAATCAAACTACCCTTCACCAACGTTGACTGTTTGGTGGCCTCAACTAAGTGGAAAAACACCACAGTTCCACAAACAATATGGAGAAATAACCATCATAGTTATAGGGGCCTTCTGGCTATGTCAAAATAGCTATTGAAAATCACCTTTTTTAATAGGTAAACCCAGGTAAACCATCTATAAATGGGCCATTTTTCCATGGCTATGTTAAATAACCAGATGGTATATCCTAACTTATGAAGGTTCTTACCATGGTAATACCCATGAGAATCACCGCATGGTTGATGCTGAAATCCCGTCCCAGGAAATCCCACAAATCCCCCGAGAAAAAAAAATGAAGTTCCATGAAAAGCCATGAAATGAACATCACCATAAATTCTCCATATTTTTTCCATAAATTCCCCATGTTTTTCCATAAATTCCCCATGTTTTTCCATAAATTCCCCATGTCTTCATATTTTTCCCACCCCAACTGGACCCCAAGTAGGGGACTGTTCTAGCCTCGCCTGTTTGTCGCGCCATTGCCATGGCGGCACGTCCCAGTTGCGCGCTGCTCATGCCATCGGCCGGCGGCAGGGCCATGGTCGGCAGGGCAGGGCCCTGGAAGGTCATGAAGGACCATGACTTAGAGTGTTAATGGAAAGATCTTGGAATTATTAATAGCTATTACTACTTGGTGGCTCATCCCACTTAGCTATGGCAAAATCCCGCAGAAAATTGATTGGTCACCATTTAACAATATGGGTACATAATCTGGGTAAATTATAATAATTCACTAACCTGAATTAAGCCCATAAAAGGGGATGATTCCCCGCAATCTAACCATGATTCCCAGTGAGGGAGAACAGTGAGGTCGTTATAATTTACCTAGATCAATGGGAGATCTTCAGGATTGATTTCCCCAAAGATTAGCCATATTTTTCAGATTACCCATGGATTTCCCATGGATTTCCCCAATAAAACACCACAGTTCCATGGGAATCAAACAGGATTCTAAAATGGAGGTGCGTTAGTACCATATTTTTA